AACTCACAAGGAAAAGCTGAAGAAATCCATAAGGAATACAAACTGCAGCACAGTTACATGCTTTACTGACAGTAGTTGGTTATTAAGAGGGTTTGTTTAACCATCTTCTAATTGAACAGACTGGCACTGAAAATTCTGAATTGTCCTGGTTCCATCAAAACTTTCTACAGAAGCTTTAGCTGTGATCTGGCTGTGGCTGCTGGCCAAGCTGGCTTCTTTCTGTAGCTCAGCTGACTGGCTATCTAGCTCCCTGGCATCAGGCCGACTACTCAGTTGGTTTCTTGGCTTCCCAGGCTTGCCAGCTGGCAAAGAAATAGATTGTTCCATTTCTTGCCAGAAAGGCTGCAGAGCCAACATGTTTTGTTCCAGCACTTGATGAAACAAAATATTGACAAGCTGGAATTTCCTGTAGAATAAAAATTTCACTTCCCAGCCGCCCTAGTTATTATTGTATGCTCTTATGTAACATAGTGACAACGTTTATCGCATCCTCTAAGCAAACACAATGCACAGAAAGGATGTGAATTCAGAGAGCTTTCCAAGGCTTTGGATAATAATCTCATATCATCTGAAACCGTCTCTACGGAGCACAATGCATCTTTTGATAAGGTTAGTTTGTGACGCTTTCCATTTTGCGTTAAAAGACCTACTTAGTTGGCTCCAAGAACCCATTTGTCAGCAGGACATAACTGGCCGTCTGAAGGATGAATTCAGTATACAGTCTGTGGATTACACCCCTTATGCATATTGTTTTGCAAGATGACTTACACAGGTCACAGATCAAACTCCAGAGAAAGAGAAACCAGCAATAGCTGCAGTGTAGTCACATGTATAAAGATTATTAGGTTTTCACTGTTGAAAAAAGGAATTAAGATATCCATAAATATGCAAATAAAAATGATTTCTCAGACATGTCAAAAATGGGTTCATGAAACATTCAGTGAAGAGAAACCAAAAAATGCCATCACATCATAGTACAATGCCATAAACACAACCCTTGTCTGAGACAAACGTCATGGCCCAGCCCAGGCCAAAGATTCATGACAAGATGACTAATAGAATTACCCACTGAGACGAAGAGTTCCAGTTTTGGAGGTGGTAGGTGTGTCAAGAGTGTTTTCAAGGAGACACTGAATAGGGCCTAAATGGCAAAGCAAGTCAACACATGGGTATGCCCTCGGCAGCAGAACAAGACCATTTCAGCTGTTCCTGTTCTTGGTTGTTTCAGCGCTATCCCCAATATCATGTTGACACATTTATTACTCTGGTGAGCTAGATCAGCAAAATGGAAGGAAAGCAGGTTGTTCTCTAGTCCTCTCAGTTCAGTCTCATTTATTGCTTGATTTCACAAATGTTCATGCTGGCACAGTCCAGAAGCAGTGCAGATGCAGGAGCAGGGAGCTGGGCTGGGGAGCTGAAGGGTATGTTATAAACAGAGAAGCCACTAGAAGTCATTAATGAAATTATTACATTATGAGCTTTAGATTTTTTTTTGTCTTTTTTTTTTTTTTTTTTTTTTTTGAAGGGGTTGGGGTGGGGGAGAAAGGTGAAATATTATCAAGCATGGCAGATCCTTCCCAGCTCGCTGCAAGGGGATCAGTGGAAAAGGCTTACACAGGTTTTAAGACAGAAAGAGTATGCTGTGCCTCCTGCTGAAGGTAGGAATACATAGACTATAAATTACGCATCTGCTTTTGAGAAGGCAATCCTTAAGTGTAGCTTATAGAATATAATTTCAAGTCTTGCCCAAACTTAATGAAGTTTTAGTTATAGAGACACATTTTTCAGAAGCAGTATCATAAAAAACCCTGACAAACCAACATTGACACAATTATGCAACTGTGTCATTTTCCTGTACAGAGGAAAAAAATGTAAGTAAGGGACTAGGAAGAAAATGGGCAGAATACTGCCAGAAAGTCACAGACTAGTTCTTTAACACCTTTCACAGAACTGGCATTCAGTACCTGAGAGAGATGACATATCGGTCAGTCTGAGATAATCTTTGAACAAGTTGCTGCAAGCCAGTGATCCTGAGATAACAAGATTAAAAGACAGATACAGACAGTAAGTCAGGATAGTACCAGGGACATAACAGTAGTTTTGACAAAAAGATTCTAAACATGCCTACTTTTTATACCAAATGAGCAGGCAGAAAACACCACAGGTGCATGGCCAGCTCTGCCTGATGGTGATCCCCTTCGTGGGGCCTGATCCTGATCTCCACAAGTGGACTGATGTCCCAGCCTGGCTTTTATCTGTCCCTGTCCCCATGCCCCAGGCTGGGACTGTCCCCAGCTTTCCCGCTCCCTGGCTGGGGTCAGCAGAATGGGTTCTGACTGACCAGACCCTGCCCTGAAAAGTGTAAAATTAGCAGGACACAAAATACCAGATCTCAGAAACTAACACTCTATTTCTTCATAACTAATATAAATTTTAAGAAGTGTTGGTTGACCAGACAAGTTTTCTGTGCTTTTACATAGACAGTATTTAAATTAACTGTAAAAACCAAAAAATGATAATAAAAAAAATCACTATTTCAAAGCTACCTCCATTTTTATTATTGCATAAAAAAAATAACATTTTCTCTGACAAACAATGGTGTGCTGTGGGTTATGTTTCATAGTTTCCTGATGAGGGCAAATCTTGATTTTTCTCAAGGTTTTGGCAGGGAGCCATAGGAACTCATTATTCTGAATAGTCTAAGGGGAATTATAAAACAAAGGGAAAAAAAATGCTTGAATTTATTTTTAAAGTATGCTTTCTCATGTTTACTTTGCTTCCAGAGCTATTTTGTTTGGGAATTATTTTACTTATTGTTGATAGATGAAAAAAAATGATACATTAAAAACAACAATACATTAAAAACAACAAAACCTTCATTCAGAATATTTAGGTTTCATGAAAACTGAAGTGTTCTTAGTGATGGAGTTGGTCAAAAGAAGTTATATTTTGTTGGCTGGCTGGAGATGTGCAAACTGCTAAAAAGTCTTTACTCAAATGATAGTGTATTTCCAAGTGAGGCTGGTCTCGAGGGGCACTGAAATGACGACTAACTTGAGTTAAATTTGATGCTTTTATTCATTTACTTTCTCTCCATCCCATAGGGACCTGCAATCCCTAGGAGTATGAGAACCATTTTATTTGTCCCACTTATGCCACACAGCATGACATATTTTAGAACCAGTCCTTTGCTTCTTTTACCTATCTAGTGTTTGCATGGTTTGTTGGCTTTGTCCACAGCTTACTAGTTTTTACAGTCAATTAAAATGGAGCTCACCTACCTGTTGGCAAAAATTAGTGAGTGAATATGCACCCCCTGACCTCTAAGTGTCTAAAATGATTGCACAAACCAGAAACAGCCCATGATCAAAGACTAAATAGAAATGAAAGCCACATCTCAAGTAAAAACAGAAGGTAGGCACAAGTAGAAATTATCTTGAAAAGTAATGGAGATCCAGTAGTAAAAATTCTCACATCCTTTTTACAGGGCTTTAAAGGTCCCCAGTGGAAAAGCGCAACTTATGAGAAGGTCACAGTAGTCTCCGTTTGTCTTTCTCTGTAAAGTGCAGCAGGTTGGACTTTGAAACGGCCCAGTATTAAAAAGTTACAAGGATCTTAGGATTCTTTTTCTTTTTTTTTTTTTTTCCCCTAACCCCTTCCCTAGTATATGAAGTTCAGGATTTTTTGGTGAATTTAGCGTTGGGGGCTCGCTCTTTTCTGTCTTCCAGAAGCTGTTGCAAGCACATGCTGCCCTGTCTCCACCTGTAGCCACAGTGAACTCCAGTTCTGTTGTTCCTCCTCCTGATCTTCACTATCATATGCCGTCTTAGAAAGACCTGTCCCGATTCCAGGAGTCTCTCTTTCAGGGAGGGACACAGTTGCTAGTGCACACTGCTAAGACGATCCATTGTGTATTGTCCAAGACACTTCCTCATTTGTGTCCTTGTTGTCAGATTAGTCTCTGAAGGAGCTGCTGCTGAAAACAAGTTATTTTGGGAAGCTACACGAAATTACTGTTTCCATGCAAACTAAATGAAATCCCAGGCCCCAGCAGCACCTACACTTAAACACGTGCCATCCTAACTCATGAGGATGTTGAAATTAATTACGTATTTGCTGGGCTAAACTGTTCATCTGGTGTCCAGAAGAATCTGGCAGCACCGAGTTTAAAAAGGGCGTGTGGACAGGAGCAAGGGCGCAGGATTTCCAGGCAGGGTTGGACACTCTTGTCTGTGCCTCGTCTGACTAAAACCAGACTGGAGCCTCCAACCCATTCCCCGATTCCGAGGCAGCCAGCGCCTGGGAGGGACCATCCCGAGCAGCAGGATCGGCCCAGCCCCCCCGGCAAGCACACACCGCCCGGGGCTCTGCAGGAGCCGCGCCCGCTGCTGGGCACAGCCCGCGGCACAGAGCAGGGGCAGGGGCTGGGGCAGGAGCACGGATGGGTGCCGGGACAGGGCCGGGTGCTGGGAGAGACAGGGACATGTGGTGGGACAGGGGCAGTGGGAGTGGCTGGGGCGTTGGGGGGGCAGGGGCAGTGACCGGCCCGGCACAGCCCAACCAGGGTCCCCGCCGTGGGGCGGGGCCGGCGCGCGACAACCCCAGCCGCGCGGGCGCGCGCGCGCTAACTCACAGCGGGAGGAGCGGCGCGCGCCCCCGCCTCCCTGCGCGCGCGCGCCCTGCCGTGGCTGTTTCCGGGGCGGGGCCGGGTTTTCCACCAATGGGAGCGCGCGGCGGTGGCGGCAGCTCCGGGGCCGGGGCCGGGAGGGAAGCGTCGCGAGAGCGGCGGCGCGTGCCGGGGGCGGGGCGGGGCGGGGCGGCGGGGGCGTTGGGTCGGGCCGCGCGCTCCGGTGCCGCTCCGGCGCGGGGACGGGGACGGGGACGGGGACGCGCGCGGCGCGCGCTGAGGAGGCGGCGGCGGCGGCGGCCACAGGTACGGAGCGCCTGCTCTGCCTCCCACCCCCAACCCCGCCGCCGCCGCCGCCCGGGGCTGGGGGGTCGGGGACCGCCGCCGCCGTCCCCGCGCAGGGCGGGGCGCAGCCCGCCGGCCTGTCTGTCAGGAGGGGCTCGCTGCCACAGGTGGCCCCGGAGCTCCCGGGGAGGCGCGCGGCAGAGCATCTTCCGCCGCCCTTCGCTTCCCTTCCCTGAGGAAGGATCCGCTGAGACAACGCGGCTCCCGCCGGCCCGGCCGGTCACCGGAGGAGGAGCCGGGGGAGGGCCCCGGGGTGCCCCTGATCCGCAGCGCGGGGGTGACACGGGGCGGGGGTAACGCAGCGCCCCAGCCCCGGCACCCGCGGGACGGGGGTAGCGTTAGCAGCTCCGCCCGCCCCGCCCCGCCGGTCCCCGTGGGCCGGGTCTGTCTGTCTGTTTGCAGCCTCGGCAGGGCACGGACTGGTTCCTGCCTGTGGTGGTGCGGTCGGTGCGCGGAGGCTCCGTGAGTTCGCGTTCTCTCCTGCCTGGACTGCGTTGTGGTCGGTGCGCACGGGTTAAGTAAGTTCACCCCGTTCTCAACATCTCGCTTTTTAAAAGTGTCTCCTCCCCCTTCCTCCCCACGGCCTCCTCTCAGTTCCTTTCCTCCCTCAAGGGAGGAGGAACAGCGGGCGTTCCTCGTTTGCTTTCTTGGGCTCTTTTAAGAGGCTTTCTTTAGCTTTTTTTTTTTTTTTTTCGTTTCTCTGGGTTTGCCTCCAAAAATCCAACATGCAAAAGGAAAAAAAAAAGTGTGAACTGCCGATCCCAACTGCATATAGATAATTGCCTTCTAATTGAAGCTATGATGTATTGCCAGAGTGACATAGGGAGAAAAAAACCAAACCCTTAGATCTGGAAAAGATCAGTGATAGCGAAATAAATGCTAACACAATGCTCCAAGTTTATCCATGTTGCACTTGTGAAGAGGCTTACATTGCTTTGTATTTGTAAGATTATTTCAGAATTGTAGAGTTAGACTTCAGTGATAGATACTACCAATATTTAACTAATCCTTGAGAAACTAAGTGTTTTTAAATAATGTTGGTCCCATTTGTACAGTGGTATTTCTTGGTCTGTAGGCAAGGTGATTTTTGGGGGGGGCATAGTAATTGAATTATGCTGTCTTGGTTGACATCTCGTAATTCCATATCCTTCAGGAATTCTTTAAAATATGTTGGCAGTTGAAGTGGTGAAAAGACTTAGTAGGTGTGGAAAAATAATAAAATAGATTATTCCTGTTTTCTGTAATCATTTGGTATGATATAATCTTAAAAAAACCCAAAACAAAGAATACACACCCCAAAAGTACCTCCTAAACAAGGTATTCTTTGGTGAAGCTTTCTCTAAGGGGAAATAAGATGGCTTGAGAAAAATGCTGCAGCTTAAAAAATAGTACGCCCAACTTACTTGGTATAGTTCTGTTATGTGCAAAATACACAGCAGAATAAAGTACAGAAATTTAAAGTTGATTGCACACAAAATCTAGGCTAATGGATACACCTGGTACATCAAATGACATTTTTTCCCAGGATGTGTTTGTGAATCCAGACCCAGGACTGGGGGGAAGCTGTGGGTGATGACTTTAAGTGATGATCTAGGCAAAGAAAATGAAGGATTCTTTTGAAATTATTGAGGCTTTGTATTCATGTCATGCTTCTGTATGTGACATAAACATACAGAAGAGTTAGAACCAAACAAGAGAAAGGAGACCCAACTTGTCATTAATGCTCACCATCAATGATGTATTTTACTCCTCCTTTCTTGGTGTGGGTGTGGCTGTGGTCAAGACAACTTGCATTTTATAAATGGAGTTTTTCAAGACTACCAACCTGATTAGTGAAACAGATAAACCATTAGAAATGAAAAATAGAGAAGGATCCTTGTCAGTGTAGACTTGTTTAATTTGGTTTTCAGTAGCAGTTGTTTTGGGAAGGTTCTAAATGCACGTGCATTTAGATACAACCAGGGTATCAGGCCCAGCCAACGTGGATTTACCAAAGAAAGGTCCTACTTGACCAACTCAATCTCCTTCTATGACCCACTATCTTCTTTCTGTCTCCTTCTGTGACCCACTTAGAAGATGAGGGCAAGGCTGTGAATGTGGTCCGTCTTGACTTCTGTAAAGTGTTTGATGCTGTCTCCCACAGCATGCTCCTGAAAAAACTGGCTACTCGCAGCTTGGATGGGAGGACTCCTCGGTGGGTAAAAAACTGGCTGGATAGCTGGGCCCAGAGAGCTATGGTGAATGGAGCTAAATCCAGTTGGCAGGCAGTCACTAGCGGTATTCCCCAGGGCTTAGTTTATGGCCAGTCCTGTTTAACATCTTTATTGATGATCTGGATGAAGGTATCAAGTGCATCCTCAGTAAATTTGCAGACAACACTAAGTTGGACAGGAGTGTTGATCTGCTGGAGGGCAGGAAGGCTCTGCAGAGAGACTGGACAGACTTGATCAAGCGGCTGAGGCCAGTGGTATGAGGCGAAGTGCTGGGTGCTGCACTTGGGTCACAGCAGCCCCATGCCTTGCTACAGGCTGGGGGTGTAGTGAGTGGCTTGAGAGCTGTTTGGTGGAAAGGGACTTGGGGTGCTGGTCAACAGCCATCTGAACATGAGTCTGGGCAGTGTGCCCAGGTGGCCAAGAAGGCCAATGACATCCTGGCCTGAATCAGGAATTGTATGGCCAGCAGGACTAGGGAAGTGATTGTTCCTCTATACTTGGCACTGATGAGGCCACAGGTTGAATCCTGTGTTCAGTTTTGGCCCACTCACTTCAAAAAGGATATTGAGGTGCTGGAGTGTGTCCAGCGAAGGGCAACAGGGCTTGTGGACTAGAGAACATATCCTGTGAGGTATAGCTGAGGGAGCTGGGTTTGTTTAGTCTCGAGAAGAGGAGGCTCAGGGGTGACCTCATTGCTCTCTACAACTCCCTGACAGGAGGTTGTAGTGAGGTGGGAATCGGTCTCTTCAGCCGTGCCTGTAGTGAGAGGACCAGAGGAAATGGTTGCTCTGAGAAGTGGTGAAGTCACCATCCCTGGAGGTGTTTAAGAGGTGTCTGGATCTGGTGCTTGGTGATATGGTTTATTGTTTACAGTGGTAGTGCTGCATGGACAGTTGGACTGGATCATCTTGCAGGCCTCTTCCAAACTTGATGATTTAGAGTGTTGTTTTTCGGGTGTTGTTAAATTTCACATTTAGAATGGATCTTTCAAAGTTCAGTGTTAGATTAAACCTGACTTTTGTAAATCATCAGCAGAGTTCTCTAGGCTGCTTCAGATCATTGTGTTGAAGACCAAAAGAAGTTCTTTTTCTTTAAAAGAAAGATATCTATTTCTGCTGTAGTACTACTAAAGTAACCCTTTTTTAAAACATAATTTTAGATATAGTATTGTCATTGTATAGAATATTTTATTTGAAATTTAATTTTAATGAGAACATATTACATATATTTCAAATTTATTGCCTGTACAGTTCAAGTTTCTCATGTCCTGTATTTGTTTAACATAGGTGTGCACATATCCACATATGCCCCTATAGCTATTAAAGAGATTTACTCAGCACATTTGCACTTTACAGAAAAAAGATAAATTTTCTTCCTTTCTACCAGCTAATGATTGTCAGTACATGCTGACTTATAATAAATTTAGGCAGGGGATAAACTTATATAAAGAGTTTAAATCTGGGGCAAATTTCCTGTTGGATTTCCTTAAGCTGATTATTTAATTTTGATCCTTACATTTATTCAAAGAAGGATATATGTATATGGAAAAGCTAGCTAAATGCTTGTTACATGGTTTGATGAAAATGGTATTCTCAGCAAATCACTGGAACAATGGATTTATAAATTCATAGAATGGTTTGGGTCAGAAGGGACCTCTAAAGACCATCTAGTCAAATCACCATTTGATGAGCAGGGACATCTTCAACTAGATGAGGTTGCTCAGAGCACTGTCCAGCCTGACCTTGAATGTTTCCGGGGATGGGGCATCTACAGCCTCTGGACAGTCTATGCCAATGCCTTACCACTCTCATTGTAAGACATTTCTTACATCTAATCTGAATCTATCCTCTTGCAGTTTAAAACAGTTCCTCCTTGTCCTATTACAGCAGGCCCTGCTAAGAAGTTTGTCCTTGTAATTTTTAGAGACTCCCTTTAAGTGTTGAAAGGCTGCTATAAGGTCTCCTGAGAGCCTTCTCCAGGCTGAACAACTCTGACTCCCTCTGCCTGTCTTCATAGCAGAGGTACTCGATCTCTCTGATAATTTTTGTGACCCTCCTCTGAACCCACTCCAGCAGGTCCATGTCTTTCCTGTGCTGAGGACCCCAGAGCTGGATGCAATATTCCAGGTGGGGTCTCACCAGAGCAGAGTAGAGGGGTAGAATCCCCTCCCTCGACCTGCTGGCCATGCTGCTTTTGATGCAGCCAAGGGTACAGTTGGCTTTCCTGGCTGTGAACACACATTGCCAGTTTGTGTCCACTTTCATGTCCACCAACACCCCCCAGTCCTTCTCAGGGCTGCTCTTAATCTGTTCATTCTGCAGCTTGTGTGAATACTGGGCATAGGATCTTGCATGTGGCCTTGTTGAACCTCATGAGGTTCACGTGGGTCCACTGCTTGAGCTTATCCAGATCCCTCAGGGACATCAACCACATCACTCAGCTTGGTGTCATCTGTCAAGTTTGCAGAGGGTGCACTGTCTGTGTCACTGATGAATATATTACATAACACTGATCCCCCTGTGAAACCCTATGGGACACCACTTGTCACCAGTGTTCATCTGGACATTGAACTGTCGACTGCTCTCCTCTGGATGGGCCCATCCAACCAACCTTGAACATTCCACCCATCAAATCCATATCTCTCCAATTTGGAGAGAAGGTTGTTGGAGAGGACTGTGTCAGAGATCTTATAGAATTCCAGATAGATGACATCTGTAGCTCTTCCCTTGTCCGCTGGTGCGGTCACTCCTTTATAGAAGGCCACTAGGTTGGTCAGGCAAGACTTGCCCTTGGTGAAGCTGTGCTGGCTTCATTAAATCGCCTCCCTGTCCTCCATGTGCTTTAGCAAAGCTTCTAGAAGGATTTGTGCCCGGGCACAAAGGTGGGGCTGACAGGTCAGTAGTCTCAAGGATCCTCCTTTCTAACTATTTTTAGGGCACGTACAATATTTCCCATCTTCCAGTCACCTAACTACCATGACTTTTCAGATATGATGAGGAGTGACTTAATAACCGCATCAGCCAATTAATTCCCTTAGGACTCTGGAAAGTGCCTTGACAGGTCCCATAGACTTACATACATTCAAGTTCCTCAGATGGTCACAAACCTGATCTTCTCTTACAGTGGGAGGGACTTCGCTTCCACTGTCCATCCACTTGAGAGGTGTAGAAAGAGAGGTTGCCAGTGAAGACTGAGGCAAAAAAGTTATTGAGTACCTCTCCCTTCTTCTCATCTGTTGTTACCAGTTTACCAATTGTGTTCATCAGTGGGGACATGCTTTCTTTGACCTACCTTTTCTGGCTGCATACCTGTAGAAGCCCTTCTTATTCTTTGCATCCCTTGCCAAGTTCAGCTCTAGCTTTGCCCTGGCCTTCTGACCTCATCTCTGCAAAACTGTGCAGCATCCTTGTAGTCTGCCCAGAATACCTGTCCGGCTTACACTGCGTGTGCGTTTCCTTCTTGCCCTTCAGGTTGACCTCAGCTCGTTTTAGCTTGGTCTCAACTCAGCAATGCCAGTCTCATGCCTTCCTTTCCTGATTTCTTACACTCAGGGATTGGTAGCTCTTGTGCTCTGTGGGAAGTCTCCTTAAAGATGTGCCATGTGTCTGAGGACAGTTTCCATGGGGGTCCTATTGACTAACTCCTTGAACAGCTGGAAGTATGCTTTTCCAAAATTTACAGTCCTGAACTTAGTCTTTGCCTGTCCCATATCCCTCAGGGCAGCAACTTCACCAGTGCATGTTCACTGTGGCCCAGGGCATCTCCAGTCTTAGATTCATCTCTAATCACTGATTAGCTCATTTATGTTGGACCAATAGGTCCAGTGTTGTGTCCCCTCTGGTAGGGCTGTCTATTACCTGTCTTAAGAAGTTATCCTCCATGCATTCCAGGAGACTTCCCCTGGAATAGCTTGCTGTGATACTTTTGGAGTAGATGTCGGGATGGTTGAAGTCCCCCCTCAGGACAAGAGCCTGCTGGCATGATACCTCTCGTAGCTGGAGCAGGAAGGCTTCATCAGCAGGCTCCCCTGGATCAGGCAGCATGTAGTAGACCCCAACCCTGAGGTTGCCTTGTTACCTGAGTTTCTTAATTCTTGCCCATACGTTTTCAGCCTGCTCATGACTATTCTTTGGAGACTTCAGCTCTTCACACTCTTATCCATTTCTTGTTGTAGAGGACAACAATTCAGCCCTTCCTTCCTGGCCTTTCCCTTCTTAACAGCCTGTAGCCATCTATAACCACGCTCCAGCCATGGGATTTGTCCCTCCAGGTTTCAATACTGTCAACTAAGTTGTAGCCTTCTAGCAGCATAGTAGTTTCCAGCTCCTCCTGTGTGTTGCCCATGCTGCATGCACTTAAGGTGATCCAGCTTGCTAAAAAGGTAGAGATGGTTAAACTTAATGTGGATATTTATCAGTTATTTGTGTGATCAGTTTTTTCCTTTTTTTTTTTGATGTCTACTGATACATTATTCAATAAAAGGAAAGTCCCGCTCCTCTTACATGTGATACTTCTGCCATTTACTTCCTTTTTTGAGTTTACAGTAGAGGGGGAAATTAATAGTCAAATTCAGTATGCAGAAGTAAAAGCAATTTTAAATGGTAGGTTTTATTTACATAAATGTTTTGTTTGTCAGTGCTTTCACTTTCTTTCCAGTTAGTTTTAAAGTTTATGTACCTCTCAGATGATTGGACCATTGTTATTTTGAAAATGGATGACAATTTTATATATTAAAAATAAAACCTCCAGGTTTTGTTGCATTGTTGGACAAGTGCGACCCTTCAGATGTCTGAAATGCATGACAGAGAGTTGAAATGCTGTAGGTGCTGGGGAGAGCCTGTGTAATTCAAGTACAGGAGGACTGGGTGCAGACAAGACGAAATGGTTTGGGTGTTATGTTGATAAACCAGTACTGTTTCTGTCCGGTATCTTTCTGAGTCTGTGATTTACAGGTCTGTTGGTTTCGTGAGTAGGTGACACTGCAGGTGGCTCTGTGTTGATTCTCGGGTGTCTAGAGTTTAGTAGCAGATGACATAGAAAAAAACTTACTGCCTGAAGGCAGTGTAACTGTAAACTATTGTACCTGAGTAAATATTGCACCCAACGTGGTTATAAGGTAATTTCATGTTGTAGTAAGCTGGGCTTTGTTAAAATTGCTGCAAGGAGTGATCAGCCCAAGATCGTAGAACACAGGTACTTGATTCTATGTGGAAAACCAGCTTTTCCCATAGGCGACTTTTTTTAGGACAAGAAGTGTCTAAGAGTATTCCCCCAATATGTTTAGATTTACAGTGGATTAGTCATTTAAGATAGAACAGTAGGGACAATTGATTTCTTTTTCTTCCTTGATACTGTTCTGTGGCTTTTTTTTTCTTTTAAACATCGAGTTTCAGCGAAGAATTGTGTTTTTTAATCTTCCATCTGTAGTTTACTGTGAAATGAGTTTCTTACTTGTATTTACTATATTTATATGTAGCATATAATCTGTTGTGTGCCTAGCTGCTTCTCATCATTGGCTTAATTTTCCAAACCAGACATCTAGTTAAGAGAGTTGCTGTGCTCCAGAGATTAAAATGTTGCAGTTAATTTGCATGAATGTAACTTTTTTCTTAAGATTCTATCGAGTTAATTTTTGTGAAGGACGGTAGAAATCAAGGTGAAATGTCAATAGACGTACCTAATAATAATCTCTTGCTATGTATTCTTGAAGAGGTTTTACTGAAGAGGTGCTAGGGTGGAGGAAGGAGAAGAATACGAAGAATACAGTTACTTGATGACACTACTACTAATCTTATTTAAGTTACTTATACTGAAGAACAAACCCATCTAAAGATTTATTTCCCACATAACCAATAAATACGTGCTTGAGATAAGATCAAGAAAACCTGTCTGGTCAGTTGTGCAAAGAAGACCCATACTCAGATATTTGGTGGTGGGTTTTTTTGGTTTTTTTAGGTTGTTGTTTTGTTGTTTTGTTTGTTTTTGTGTTTTGTTTTGTTTTTGTTTTAAATTTTATTTCGCCTTCATTTTTACATGCATATGCTCCTTACATGGTTTATTTTGGAGAGTCTAGGAGTTCTTTTTCCTGGTCAAATTGTGTGACTATGAGAAAAGCTGAATTATTAAAACTTCCATAGAACTTAGAAGCCCAGCACGGGCTTTCTGTCTTTAATAACACTCTGTATTGTTTTGGGGCATGTAGAGATGAGTGAAACAAACTAGACTCATTGCTATTGGTTAAAGAGGGAAACTTGGAAAAAAATGTTTTCATTTCATAGCTGTTTTTTTATCTTCTTGTTGTTAGAATTAGACTTAAGATCAATAAGGGCAGCTGACTAGAGCAGGAACTCTTGTGACCTACTTCACTGAAGTGCTAGTAAATTCAGCTTTAGTCTCCTGTGTTTTGCCAGCGGAGACGACTGCCCAAAGCAGGGCCAGAAAACAGTGTTGATCCATGTTAACCTGTAGTACCTCCAGTCAAAATAAATGACTAGGCCAGGTGGTTGAGTGGGTAAGTTGTACATTTACCTCTCGAGGTTGTTGGAGGGTAGTTCCAGCACCTTGTAGGTAAAGGAATCTGCTGATAGACTTTCAGGAGTACCAGTGATAGTGAAACATTATTTAATGTAATGTTCCTCCCCACTCCCCACCCTGCAGCCTTGAAATCTAGTTAAAATGTGTAACTTGCTGCAAGTTCTGTGTTCTATATTTCCAGTTTGGTTGTTAAAGCAGTACTTTTTAAAGGAAGCTGTCAGTATGGATGGAGTGCTGTTTAATCTTTCTCAGTTCTAAAATGCTTTTTGATTGGTTTTTATTATTGGTTCTTGTTTTGTCTACTTGCATTGTCAAAGCAGATGCAAACTAAATGAGTAAATATAAAATAATAAAATATAATTGTTTTTTATAGGTATTTTTGAGCTGACTTTCATCAAATACTAAGACTGGAAAGATCATGGACATGTATGCCAGAGCTCAGGGCAGTCGAATGAAACCAAGAATATCTGTGAAAAAGGTAATTATCTGCATTTAAATAAAAAAATATTTTAGAGCTTTTTGACCTAATAATGAAGCAAGTGAACTGGTTTGGTTGAGGTTTTTTGAGTATGGGGTTTTTCGTTAATATGTTTTAATTGTGGTTGTCTGACATTTCAAGGAAGCAAAGAAATTACCTTGGCTTTATGCTTTGGCAAATTTAGTGTAATTGAAGTGGGAGAGAGCATAATTTAAGGAAGAGGTGCATGCTTTTGTCTTTAAAGGTGACATGATGAAATCATGATATATTAATTTCCTAGACATTGCCTTGTTTATTGGAAGATAGCTTTTATTTTAGAACAGATTTTTTGATTTTATATGTAATAAATTAAAATACAAATATGTAGTCTTCATTGAGTTATGTGAAGTCTGTGTTAGGGCTTGCTGGTATTATCTGTATCTTTAGATTTCTTGGTTTCTTGTCTGGTTTGCCCTTCTGGTTACAGGAACATTTAGGAACTGCCTAGGTGAAAAAGAAAATATGTCTAGCACTTACAAAAGATATTAGACGGTTGGGGTTTTTTTTATTTGAATAATATTTTTTTTTCTTTTAAATTTTGTCACTTTAGCTTGGAGAACATAAATATTTTTCCTCTAATTTTGTTGCAATGTATGTAAGTGCTTATTGAAATGAAAGTTGCAGTTTATCCTAAAGGAAGAAATTTATTTATCCAATTGTATTTCTCAAGGTAGTTGAACAGAGGTGAGTTGATAGGTCTTTCCTGGTTACTAATAATGTTTTTATTTGCAAATTGCTGCAAGGGTAAGAGGAGAAATTGAACAAGGAGGCATCTTGTCAGATGAAAATCACATTATTCTATTTCATAGGCAGATTCTGTTATTTTAAGGAAACAGTGCCTGTGGTATATGTCCTGTAGAAACTATTTGAAGGCAAAGGAAAGTATTATGAGACAGTCAGTTGTTTCAGGTCCTGACATGGAATGTTAATGGACATATATTAAGCAGTTTGTAATTATGGGTGATATTCTTTCACTTTAAGACACACAGTGTAAAACCTTCTATTTTATTGGTTTATGAGAACTCACCAGCTCAAAGAGTTCTTTAACTACATAAAAGTAATTTTACGTTCTTAAAGGACCTTTTATAATCTCTTCTTTATTTATTTTTCTACTTCAATTTACAAAACAAACCGAATACCAGCCTACCCATCACCCCCACATTTTTAAACTTATGGGTTGCAGAAACATCTTTCCAGTAATGACAGTGACCAGTGATTCCTCACTGATTCTGATAGTTGCCTAAAATATTAGCTCTGTGAACTGCTCTGTTAATTGCCATTAAGCACTCTGGACTGTGTGGTTCTAGAAACATGAATTTGACACTTCTCGAGTGTCTGGCAGAATTCTGTATTTCCACACAGCCAGGCTCCAGTGTTTCGATCTGTGGCTGCCTGTTGATATTTCCCTGAGGAGTGGCTGTTTAGATTATGATGTGGAACTTTCTCACAGGGCCAGGCACTAGGGTGATTAGAATTGCAATATGTTTCGTCTTTTGTTGATTCACAGAATATTGCAGTCTGATTCCTGTCCTCTTTGTAACACTTTGTCATAGTTAACAGGAATTGTTGCAGTAGTAGCTCTTAAAAGTTAGTGCAAAGTTATGGTATGCACATTTAAAGCCTAAGTTTCTATTTTTGCAAAATTACCTCAAAATATTTAATCCAATAAAATTTTACAGCACATGATGAAATCAGGAAGAGCTGCTTTGTTGCTTAAGAGCAGAGTAAGCATGACTCTCCAGCACTGAACTTCATTTCTCGAGAGACTGTTGCATCTTACAGGTTGTTTGAAATGTTAGAGATCAGTTGTTGAAAACACTTAATGAGATGAAATACTATAGAATTTCCTCCAGTGTACTGTGAAGGATCTGTAGATAATGACTTCTTGATTTGCTAAGGGTACAATGCATATAGTTGAATCGCTCAGTTGAGCTAGAGGTATGACAAGAATTTTAATTGTTAGGATCTCAGCACCTTGATGATATTTGTGTTTTTCCCCTGACATTACTAAGTAACTTTGAATCTGTGCTCAAGAATGACATAGGATTTCTTGCAAGACATGACTTTAGAATTTCTGTGAGAAAGGAGTACACAGGCCTAGCAAGTAGAGCTTTATAGATTGCTTGGGGTTTTTTTACCCATATGTCAATGTACATTGGAAGTAGTTGTACTATTTATTAAAACAAATTACCTCCTTTTGCTGAAGATGAACTCTTGTCCTTACCTAAACTGAGCTTATAGTCTTGGGAACTTGCTAGTTTTCAGTTTTTAATGTAGATGTGTGTCTCCTCATCTGGGATTGTGAGAGAACTTACTTTCATTGTCTGTTTGACAGGAGAATTTCCCTGAAATTGAGTCCAGTCCTTTCCTGTCACAAGCACAGCTTTGACAGGGACAAGAATATGAATAAGTTACTAAATACACTCTCAGGTAATGAGGGGAGTTTAACCCTCCCACCAAACCTACTGCTTGCTGGTTTTAAGTATTTTTGAACCACACTGCAGTAATAGCTAAGAATCTTATGAATTTCAAGCTGAAGCTAGTCAACAGCAAATTTATACCTGTTTGCTCATGGATGTAATTATTCTTCTGCTTAAATAATTTATTTTCTTTTGCTGATGTTCACCCTTATGATTTTTTTAAAATTATGTCCTCTGTTAGCCTTGGTTTATGGAAACCATGTAAACTAAGGTTTTAGTCTACTTTTATATGAAAGCCTCTGCATTCCAGTGATTATCCTTCATAGTCCTACTTTCCGTGCTTGTTGTGAGTTAATCTTCTTTTTACATGTGGATAATACTGTATATGCAATTACACAGGATGTCCTTCTCAGTGACTGATGTCAGTTCTTTCACTGAAGGATGCACATTTGCTATTTTCAGTGCTGTATCATATTGACCACTCATTGCTATACCACGATCAAGAAGTCAGCTCAAGTCTTGTATTTCCCAGCTTGTGAATTTGCAATTCTATTTTAAAGCTTGCTTTTAGTTTTTAAGGACATAACTTTGTGCTTCCTATGGTTGCATTTTAAAACACTCTTGTGTTGGATAGGTCCTTCTTCTATGATTTGCTATTCATCTTCTTAGCTGATGACACCTGCTTACTTTAATTATTATCAGTTTTCATCTCATATTCACTTTTTTCCCCTCATTAAATTAATTAATGATGATGCTTCTTATCAGTCTCAAGATAAATTTTGAAGAAGTTTGTTACAGACCTACAACAGCTATTCTCAAAAATATCTCTGTATTATCTCTATTCAGGCAAGGTCTTCTTTTCTAAAGACAGCTCTTTTAGTAAACTCTGTCTTTATCTGGTTTTCTTAACTCTTCATATATTTCAGTCTAAATAATCTACAGAAGTCACAGATAGATTTTTTTTTCTATGTGTATGTGTTTTGCATGTTAATTTCCAAATCTTTATTATTTTCACATTCTGAACTTTTTTTTAATATTAATTAATATGATCTGAAAAGCATATGTCACTTGCACCTAATTTTAAATATGGTGTTTTATCTCTTCAGTTATGTACTGCTACCATGGACTACCAGACCTGCATAGAGTCTTGTATGCTGGTTCTTCTAGGTCTTGGGGAGACTTTTACAGTTGTTTCATCTTTCTTCTTCTCCCACTTCAAATTAATATTCTCCAAAATGTTGAATTTTGCTTCACCTCAGTAGTTCCTCATGCCATGCTCTGGTTCAGTTACCCATTCTGCCTTTCAGATGTAAAACTAGGGAATAGTATATGCTTATAAATAAGGTGTATGTGATAGTTTGGAGCTTTAGAAAACCCAGTTTGAGAATAACAATGAGCCCTTCTCAATGTGGAGCACTCTTGGCTTGCAGAAAATTAGCAGGTCACGTCATACAACTTTTTTTTTTTTCCCCCTAATTAATATTTTGAGTGCTGTAACTGATTAAATTATTTTAGAAGCTGAAAATGAGACATTTCAACATGCTTGCTTGACTTCACGAATTACTTTTGTACAAGATGAATGAAGGAATTTCTGGGGAGCAGTCTTTGAGCAATATTGCAGCCACCTGTAAATTTGGAAGATCTAGAGAATAAGAGAAAGACACTGGCAGCATACTTTGGAAAGTACAAAGATACATTACTGAATTGTGGAAGTAAATTACAACTAAATATATTGGGGGAAGACAATAGATAAAACTGGAAATTTGGCAAATGCTTCATTAATTTATTTCAAATGAACCAATAACTGCATAAAATGCTTTTTAAAATAGTTCAGCTGTTGCTTTTCTGTAACAGTTACTATTTTGACTTCTTTAGCAGCACCTGACCTTGACTGTCAGCTTGGTAGTCTAAGCCTTGTTTGCTAACATTCTGAAATGTATTTTGGTACTTTCAAGGATCCTGATGTTCTAATCTGCTTTTTTCTATTCATTCTAGAAATTCTTCCCTAATTTTGTGTTGCCATGAGCACAAGAATGGTGACACAGATCCTGCTCTAATCCTTTGACTTCCTTGATACTGCTTTTTATACAGGGAAAAAAGAAAACCTTTCTTGAGGTTTAACTGTATTATATAATATCACCTTTTACTATAAAGGGATTGTTTTTGTTTCAGGTGTATCAGAAAGGCAAACATTCTCTGACTAAATTTGGTTATCTAGCACTTCTACTATTGTTTGAGAAGCTATACGAATTTGAAATACCTTGTCGTAAGCTGGACACAGTGATTTCTCACTTCATTTTTTAACAGGGCAATCTTTTAGAGAATAATTAAATGGATTAACAATTTTTAACCATATGATGATCTTATTTGTCTTCTCAACCTTACAACTTGCTAGAGAAGATGACAATTTTAAATTTAAAAAAAGAAATGCTGGCTTTCTATAACAATAGAGAAGATATTGCCTCTTTTATGAGCTGAGCGAACCAGTTTTGTTTTTCTGTCGTCTTATTTGCCTTCTGCACTTTGTTACACTAGGAGAAAGTCTTGGATTCTTCAGCCTTTTTTAGCCATCTGTGGGTGCTTGCATGTCACCATAAGTGTTATTATAAGAAATGTTACAAGAAGTGTTTACATGGGATTAAGTTACAGTTGTTTCGTATCCTTCACAGAATGGGGAAGAATGTGTGTGGATTTTCTTGAGGTTTTTTTGTTTGCTTGTTTGTTTTCTTCCCCTCTGACTTTTGAAGCCACCTGCATGACTTTTCTTGGCTAAAGTTGCTTTTCATCTTATTTAAGGAAAAGCTGTTGAAGAAATTCCATATATAGGCTTCAATGCAAGGAGTAGATAGTGTTTGGATTTCTTCTTGGATTCATCTGTTCTTTTTTTTCCAAATCTGTGTATTCTTATCTTTTTTCTTTCTTTTTTTTTTTTTTTTTTTTTTTTTTTTTTTGAATGCAGAACCTATTTTGGAATAAAAGTATTGCTAGAAGAAAACAACTTACCTGTTTCAGTTCCATATCTTAAAGTGAATTTAAACTTCAAACCTGTTGATTTATATACAAAGCAATTTGAAATAGTAATTAGAGTAGGGAAGCCTATGGGGGGCAGGGGAGAGCTGGATGGACCATGTATCCAAAACTGAAAATACCTTTTTTTTTTTTTTTTAATTTTTCATTTAATTTTTTTTTCAGAGTTTTGGTGAAGGTATACTGCACTCTATGAAGTCACTGCTGCACAGCAGGAAAGAGTTATGCAATGTATCAGCAGAGGAATGCCTAAATCGGGAAGAAGAAGATAATTTTATTGAGGTTTGGCACAATGTTACCATTTATATATATTTTGTGGCTATGATAGAAAACAGTTTCGCTTGAAACAGTATGGGCAGTTGCAGGATAGTAAACAGGAACAATGATTCAAGTTACTGGCTGTAAAATCTGTACCCTGTATTGTCATTTTTGAATTAAGTCACTATAGTCTTAAAACGAGCTGTGACATTTCAAGATGACATTTCTCTGCTTTGAAGGGTTTGTGAAACTAGAAAACCAAAATGTGTAAATAGATGACTTGGGTGGTATGGCATTTGCAAGCATTGCTGTGATCAAGGTTGTGTGGATGATATCTTAACAAAGTAGCAGAACATTAGCAGTAGTAGACCTGGACAGAATGCAGAACTGTCTAGGTAAATCTCAAGGTATATGGAGGAATTAATAGAACTGTTTGAGTTACAAAAGTAGCAGCAACTTCTCCAAAGGGAAAAGAAAACAAGTAAGAAGCAATGGTTACTGGTGTAACCTGTATTAAGTGTTTTACAAGACTTCTAATTAGTAGTTGACAGGCCTGACAAGGATGTTAGAGAAGGAGAGGATGACCTGAACTGGCCATGCAGAGGAGCTGAGACAGGGTGAAATGAAGGAAAGACAAGCCAAGAAGTGATTAGGGAGACTGTTAGGTAATTGCATAAGGAGTAGCAGGAGGAAGGCAAGAGGCAGATTGTGTGACTGGCAGAGAGGAATTAGGATTGCCTGGATAACAGCAAGTATTTTGTGGTTGGATGGATACAGTCAGGGGTTATGACTCTATGGAACTTTCGCGGAGCAGGCGGGAAGCTAAATTTGTGAAAGATGAAAAGCTGTGGCAGATTAAGGTAAGGAAGAAGAGCTATACAGAAAAACCTTGGCAAAAAAAACCCCAAACAAACCAACCCTATGGCAAAACCTGGTCTGTATCTGACCAGACGGACCATGCTTCAGAAATCTATGAAACATTTTTTATCTTACGTTGCCAGCTATATGTCAGGTATGTTTTATATGCCTGAACTGATGGTCCCTATGGAGAAAGATAGCTGACTATATTAGCTACCTTATTAGAGCAAGCAATTAAGAGCCCACTGGTTGAAGTGTAAGAGGGTCAATAGCCTGCCACAGAACAGATATTTTTTCCTTATGGAAATAGAGGAAAGATGTGAAGAATGATGTTAATGGAATATTATTAGGACTGCAAAAATAATTACTCAGACTTTAGAAAACCAGTATTTAGGTTTTCATGTACCATTTTTAATCCATTTACTCTGTGCTTATGATAACCTTCAAATGCAGTATTTCATACACTATTTTTAGTTTAAAAAAAGGACTTGTGTTACTGATGACCTTTTTATTTCCCTGGCCTACTCCCCAACAACTTTTGAACTGGTGTACTAACTTCAGACATGTTCAAGGTATTAAAAGGTGATTGTTTTTCTGTGAAGACTGGCACAATAAAGAAATCCAAATTAGTATCGTCATGGAGGCAAAAAGAGGCAAACTTAGTAGGATTGTTGTCTTTTTGACAGCAGTCTGCTGACCACTCAGTGTACATATTGTTCTTCATTTGTGTGAAGCTACTACTCCTGCATACTGCCCTGTCTTGCACAGTGAATTTATCCCATGAGAGAAGGGAAGGGTTGGAATCATCATCTTGAGGAAGAGGAAGGGGGCACGTAAGAAGACATCGGTTAAAAAGACCAAACAAAACTGCCAAAAAAACCTCAACCTCAATAAACTCTAAAGCCTCTCAAAATGTTCTTCAGAGAACTAAGTTTTTTCCCAAGTCCTTTAAATTGTTTGATATTTTGCTGCTTCTGTGAAGGAATTCAGTTTACATTGTAGGTAGTTTGCAGATAAAAAGTCATAAAAGTTGAAAAGTGTCTTGAAGGTACTGTGCAGATAAATTATTTAGTTGTTGAAGAGGAGTTGAAAGATAACGTTGGTCAAACAGGATTGTTTCACAGTTAACACAGTGAATACGGTGTTGGAGATGTGTAATTTGTCTGGAGCGGTTTGGAATGCTACTGTGAAGCATTGTTTCATTTACAATGTTGTCATAGCTGACATAAGTGGATGTAAGTGGGAAGATGTTTTCTGGGGGCATGAGATCCTTTTCCCAGCATGAGACTTGGTCCCCTGAAATAAGCGTATCAGAACATTTCTTAGTATGATTCCAGTTTAAAAGAAAGTTTGAAGGGTTTTTTTGGTCATGCTTTGAAAGAACATATTCAAAACACATATACAGTTAAAATGGACTTGTTTTTCAGCTATTTCTTTTTCTAACTCTGTACTTCTCAGAGATTCTGTGTATATACAGGCAGGTAGCTGAACCAGTTAATAATAAATTAATATAAACATAGTGATGTTCTTTGGAGTAACGGGAGTAGTTGCTACAAATTTATGAGCTGTGGCTTTAATACATAAAATTCAGTCTGCTGCATTGTGCTGTGAAATAATGGAACCCAAGCCATATGAAACTAATTTCAAACGTCAGTGAAAGTATTTAGTCTTTGTGCTTTACTCCGTATCCACAAAATGGAAGCAAAATTTATTTTGTGACGACCATGTTTTGAAAATAAGTGCCTTGGGGTTTTTTGGAGCATGCAGATACCCTACTGATTTGTCATTAGGGAAATACTAAATGAGAACTGAGGAAATCTGACGTTTGAAATGAAGTTAACGGTTTGTCTGCTTGGATATGGTGTGCAAACATGTGGCTTCAGTAGTCCGTTGTGTTTTGGCCTTAGGCTAATCAATTTACATGGCAAATTGTATAATGTGTTGGCTTTATGCTTCCTTTAGTATATCCAAACGTGTAACAGTTTATTTTAGCATGGGCAGATTTCAGACTGGAACTGTTTTATATGTGCCCAGCCTGAAGCAAGGACAGATGAGCACTGACCTTGGCAAAATTGTGTTTGTTTTAACAGATGTAATGAGGTTTGTATGTGTTGCTCTGTATGTCACTAGAAAAATTTCTGTGTAGTGGGTTTTAAATGTTGTATATGCTCTTAAGTCTGGCCTGACCTTTCACAAGTCAAATAGTGTAGAATTACTAGTCTTTATGAAAGACTGTGTGCTACTGTTTGAGCAAGCTACGCTACCCTAAGTTATGGTTATTGTGACCGTGGAATGAAACTTTATGTTACAGTCTGCTAAATTTTTAGCTCTTAAATATCAGCAGGAAACAAAAAAGTTCTTTTCTGTACTTAACTATATTAATGTATTTATTTTACAGATTACATTTATAGGTTTTGCTGAAGAGATGGGTACTGCTCGCTTGCAGGTATGATATATATCTGTCTATTGGAAAATAATAGCTGGTGCTTTCTTCTAAGTAGTACATAGTTTTTTAAATTGAGGAATTCTGGTGTTTGAGAAGTGAAGCAGATGTATCTTGAGCATGAAAAGCCTAAGTTTCAAATGTCATTGAAAACTTGGAAATAATTATTTTAATATGATAATTGGTGTTTTATATGTATTTACAATATAACCTGGGTCAGTCTTTGTATTAGGATGGTCTGGAACAACTTATTTAAATGCGGCAGAAGGGGATGATTGTTTGGGGAAGGTGTTTAGGTGGGAAGGGGTTTGTTTGGTTGTGGTTTTTTTGTGGGTGCTTTTTTGGTTTTTGTTGTTGTTAAAACTCATGTGTATCAGTATTTTGATTTGTGATCTTCTCCTTAGCTGAGCTGTGCTTATTCATGTGGTAAAGTTGCATGTGTAAACCTAAAACTGTATTGAACTGACTTCTAGCTGTGAATTGCTGATGGGGAGGTCAGGAGTCAGTATTATGGCTATGCCTTAAGATGTTTTAAAAGGTGGAGTGTAGCAAACTAGGAGGGTTATAATGTGCAATTTTTATGAGCTAAGGATTTAGTCTTCTTGTACTGCTTACACATCAGTGTAATTCATAACATGCATCTGCACAGTGCAGTTCCACACTTCTACTCTGTCTAGATCCTAGTAGATAGAGATTGCTGTAATAGTTTGCTAATGTTTAAAAGTGCATAAAGAAACTCTGAATCCATTTGTGTTCCAGCTTATATCAGTGTTCCTATTAAATTATAATAACACTAGATATTCTTTCAAGGATGGATAAGAACTGTTTGATTGTCTGTAATTAGATGGAATTTAAAGAAAATTGGACAGAGTACGTTTATGGAGATTTGCTTTGAATCGTAGGGATCAGTAGTGTTTGGACTGTTGAAAAAAACTATAAATCTTTCATAGGCTTCTTCTACATTAGGTAAATCTAAAGGTTTTCCAAGGTCTTGCTTTGGGAACTGCCTTGTCCATGTTTTTGTAATGGGGAGCTAGAACACTGCTGCAATGAAGCACACTAAGAGCATGTAGAGATCCACTGAGAGCCATTATTAGCTGAGGTCACAGTGTTTGTAGTTGTGTAGTTTGTAGGATGTGCAGCTGCTTTTCAGCATTTACAAGATTCTCCTCTATGACTTTTAAGCATCTTCCAAGTATGGACTGAATTAAAGCTTGTTTACACGACTTTTACAACACAGTTCTAGAGAGTAAGTGGGGGATGGAGCAAGAAATAGGAAATAAAAAAAAACTTAACCAAAATTAGTAGCTGTTACTATTTAGGGGGGATATGAGATCAAACCAATTGTTATTTACATGTTATTTTTTTGACTTGATATTCTCAATGTGTTTGTCTGTTTAAATCAGGAGTTGTCAGCTGTTTCTGTAGAACTTCCAGATGTTCTGAAATCGCTCCAGTTGCGCAAACTAAAAGAAAACGAGGCTATATTTCTAAAAGATGTAAAGAAAAGCTTGGCAAAACCTTGTGTCATGAAACATCAGGTAAATTTTTTCTGCCTTCTTGCATGTCAGAAGCATTATATTTCACCGCCTAAAGAGTTCAGTCATATCACACCTTGTCTTGCTTTTGGTTTTGGGCCATCTCAGCCACAGTAATATTAATGTTATATTTCTGTGGTTCCATGAAAATGAATGTCAGAAAATATAAGAGTAAACAGTGCTGTATTGTCTACAGAAAATATTCAACAAATACTTAATTATGGTGTTGATCCCATATTTCTGCTAGGCTGTATTCCCTTTCACTGCCAATTTGGAAAGAATAGGAAATTTGTCAAGTTACCCATCTCTGCTCTGCTCTGCTCAGATACAGCTTTCATCTTTGGCAGGCTTTTCTTGTTGAAACAGAGATACCAAAAATTACGTGACTGTCTAGTGGACTCCTGTCTTACAAAAAAAAAAAAAAAAGACAACTGTAAATGCTGCTAATGATGTAATTTCCATTATTTTTATTTCGATACTGTTCCCATTATTGCCAAGTTAATTATATTCTTTCCATTTACAAATGTTGCATATAAGATAAAAAATACCTTGAAGAAACAAATATCCTATAAACTGAAGTACTATTCAGCATAAACACACTGAAGAAATACTGTCTTCCTCTACAAATTTTTAACATGCATTCTTTAATAGATTCTTGGGAACCTATTATCAGAGTTGTGTTACATTATTGCAGTGATTTATTCAGAATGCAGAAGTTATGAAAAGGGGTGATTCTGTTAGTCTACACAAACTGTTTAATTAATTTTCTTATATTTAAAAGTATTTCTGAATTATTTACTCTTCATAAAAAATGCATTGAAGGAATCCCTTGCTACTGCTGACAGTTGAATTATTCTAAGATTGCTATATTTGTTTTCTTGTTGCTGTCTTTTTCAAGAATCAACTTGCTGAAGTGTTTTGTGTGGTGAGACTGACTCCTTCATTCCCAAGGATCAAAGTTGATTATATATTTACCTTGCTGAGCAAGTATACCACAGGCATAAGATATGCAGTAGAAATCAACTCTTTGCAAAAACATCAAACAGAGACATCCCATGGAGAAGATGATGACACTAATCATTCAGTTTCTTCAATTGAGGATGATTTTGTTACTGCTTTTGAACACTTAGATGAAGATGAACCTTCAAAGATACAAACTGCTGGTAAGTTCTTGCTGTATCCTTATAGAAATTGGTATTTGAAATTTAGGCTGTTGAGACTGAATATGAAAGCAAATGGAAATGAATAGTAATTTTTTTCCCTTGATGATGTTTTGTAAAAGGGTATTGGGCATTTGAAAAATTAACTTTTTACTCTTTTTACAACAGTTTACCAACTCATAAACCAAAGATTCAAATCTCAGTGTCATACGTATATCAAATAGAACCTTATTCTACTTTGTGTGCTAAAAGTACATTAGTCAGTGATTAGATTTGTGTAATAGGATTTGAAGAAAATGAAAGGTTGCTTTAATCATGAATGATAAGCTAGCATTTTGCAAGAATAATAAACCCAGCAGTTGCCATTAAAATCTGTCCTGTTTTCTGCAGTTTTGTGGAAAAAGCAATCTTTTTTTACCCTTTTTTTGTTTGTTTTTCAGGTGCGTGCAGCTTTACTTCTCAAAACCATCGAGATGCTGCTTCACAGACCATCCCTGCTCAATGTTTAGAAGCTGTTGACTCAAAGATCCTTGTAGGTTCTGCACATCGAAAGTCATCTACCAGATCTTCTACTTTGATTGATATTTTGGGACTTAAGGAACTGTCCTCAGTAAAGAATTCAGTAACAACCTCAATATCTGATCCTTGGATACAAAGGAGTTTCTATAAGCCATATAATCCTTCTGATCAAGGTGTTAATTTTTTACGTAAAACATTGTTTTCTTCCTCTCCAGCTGAATCCTCTGAGTCAGACTGCTCCAGCCCAAGCCCCATCATCTTCTTAGATGAAGAAGGGTATCAAAAAAGCTTGAAGGCAAAACTTCAGCTGCCAAAAATTCCAGTAGTGAAAGATGGTATAGAGGATTCAGACTCAGAAGTAAGTGAATTTTTTGATAGTTTTGATCAGTTTGATGAGCTGGAGCAAGCCTTGGAAAACTCTTGTAAAGTTATTAGGGATCCCATCCTAGGGAATCCCTCCCAGAAAAGGAGGACTGCACATGAAAAATTGTCTTCTGCAAGCATTACAATGAATCCTCAGAAATTCAATTTTGATCGTCCCACTCTCCCAGCCAATGTAAAGAAGCCAACTCCTCGTAAGCCAGAATCACCGTACAGCAGCATCTTTGAGGTCCCGGATTCCCCTCGCCCAGTTAAAACATCAGGGGAAGAGAATGGAGGCTTCTTCAGCCCTATTAGAACGTCAGCCTTCAGTCCGCTAGGGAGCTGTGGTTCTTCCGAATGTTTGTGTCGAAGTAATCTTGGTGGAGATGGGACAGGCCGAAATCACCATGATGCAGCTTATAATAGTTACTCAGCATATGCTGATAGTGTTTCATCTGAAATACTCGGTTCTGTTTTTTCTTCTGAGTCCTCATCAGTAAAAGTATGTGCAGGAAATGATTCGAAGCAAAAAAGGATTGCTTTGAAAGAGAAAAAAAGGCAAGCTGCAGATCTCAAAATGAAAACTAGTAAGGAACCAGATAAACAAGCAAAATCTAAACATAAGTCACTTATGATTAGAGATAGCATTCAAAAATTTGCAGCTGAATTGGTTGAAAAAAGTTTTGGCAGTGCATTTAAAGACCTACAAAAAGGTGTTTCCTCGTGCACCAATGCACTTTGTCATTTGGCTGCTAGGTTGACTTCTTCGGTCTTTCAGATGGCTTTTTATGAGATTGGAAGACGTAGAGCAATCTCCCTTAAGGAACGTGCCATTAATGGGATAGCAAACTTTTTGGTGAGCGAAGCTATAACTGCTGCTTTGAAAGAACTGCGTCACGTAAAGAAACAAATATTTACCAACACTGTTGCACGGTTTGCAGCAGACCTTGCTGAAGAACTTGTGTTTGAAGGAATCATGGAAGTATGCCAGTTCTCATATCCATCAACACCTACAGCTTCACAGCCTTCATCATTTGATTACGAAAACAAAGTGGTAAGATCCTATGCCCGAGATTTGTCTGAATCTGTCATTCAAGAGGCATTTATTGAACTATCTCAGGTTGATGTGACCTTCACAACACAAGCAGCCATTAGTGTTTCCATGGACAATATTAAATATGTAAGCGCAGAAAGTATGTTAGAGTCAACGCAGACTTCCACAGTTTTTCCTAATTTTACTGATAGGATAGCACTAAAGCCAATGCAAGATTCCAAGAAGGAATATACAGTACATCAAGCTCTGTTTTGCACCTCTGGTGTTGTAAGTTCAATACCTGTGCCCTTAGCTGGAAGAGCTCTTTGTCAACAACAGGTTTCCTCTGATGCTTACAAAGCAAAAGTATCAAGTGCTCCAAATGCTGATGACAATATGAAAGTATTCAAAGACTCCACTCATCCATTTTTCACAAGCAGAAAGAGAGAGGAGGAAGTCTCTTCTTTCAGAAATATATATCTAACTTCAGATCACAGTGCAAGTACTGAAAATACTCCATCACTCTTTTATAACCAAAATGATACCAAACTAACAAATAACAGATCTGGAATGAACAGTAGCTCAGAATTAACAAGTGGGTCAAAAGGCATTAATGCTTTCTCTGGAACTATGGTAGATATGATAGTAAATGAAGCTTATGAAGCCATAACTTCATCTAGAGTAACAAAAGCAGTAGAAGAGTATACAGATTTTTTAACCAGAAAAATAGTAGATAAAAAACCTTATGTGCAAAGTATTGGTGAAGACTTGCCCAAGAATATGTTTGCAGATCATTTGGCCAAGTATGTCATAAAACAATCTGTAGATGAAAGTAAAACTGTGTTATGCAACACTAGTGAGAATTTAACATGTAATGTGAGCTCACAGACCTACGGAGATACCAATCGAAAAGAACGGTTTGTGATAAAGCCAGAGGCTGAGAAACAAAGTAATGTTTCTATAATTGTGGAACAACAACAGTTGCCTTTGAATAATCCATGTAAATTTCTTACTCCAACTCATTCTGTTCAGTGTTTTTCAGAATCTAAAGATTGTTGGCAGGAACAAAAAGGACATAGGTTTTCTTCGAAATCACCACCCCCTTGTTCCACTGTGACTTTTGCTAAGCATGTTCTAGAGGACTGTACTGACATGGGAAGCTGTTCAATAACATGCTTAAACAAGACTTCAAAAAAAAATGATACCCAGAAACTATCAGCAGGAGCTTTGAATTACAGGCAGGCCGATTGTTTTCTGCATGCAAATAGCTTTTCTTCAGTGATGTTTGGCAGTGAAGGTGCTTTGCAGATTGAAGAAAAATCAAGTCTCAAACATGGAAATACCTGTTTAATGCCCGATACACCCCCACCGACTCCTTTAGTGCCATGTGAAGGTACTTCTGAAAGGAACCTAAGAAAACTATCCAAGAAACTCAAGGGAGAATTAGCAAAGGAATTTGCACCTGCAACACCACCTTCTACACCCTACAATCCATCCATTACTGATTTTTCTGCAACTGAACATGACTCTTTGGAAAATGAGGAATTTATGCTTAAACTCATGCGGTCACTTTCTGAAGAAGTGGAAAGTAGTGAAGATGAAGATCATTCTCAGATGCCTGTTGAGAAAGGGGAGCATTTGGAAAAAACAGTTCAGTATGCAGATTGTTTAGCTAGCCATATAGTTTCAATAGCGACTGAAATGGCTGCTTCCCATTTGGATGGTAAAACAAATGAAAGAGATGCTGGTAGGCAGGTTCAGTTAGGTATGCAAAAGAAAATATGTGGATATACTGCATTTATAAATATCCCAGAAGAGACATGCAATTCTTTATGGAATTATGCAGGTGATATGGCAGGAAAAGTCATCAGTGAGGCCAAGAAAGTGGTGAAATCAAGGCATTGTAAACTGTTGAGGTTGAAGCGGGTTAACTGTCAGGTGGATTGCTTTTATCTGAGAAAAGGTGATAAAGATGGTAGTTCAAAAGAAGGGTGTGGTCCAGTGCGGGACCAGTGGCTGGGGGACAGGGGTTCATCTGTACTTCCTTTACCACAAGGTTCAGGCATGGCAGGTTTGACTTCCAAGTACCCGAGCTGTGAAAGTGTGACTGACGAATATGCAGACCATGTCATTCGAGTTTTGAAAAGAGAAGGTGGTAGTGCTGAGCTGTTAATGGATCAGTATGCTAGCAGACTTGCTTACAGGTCTATCAAATCGGGCTTGCAGCAAGCTGCTAGAAAAACCAAAATGCGATACAACAGAAAGACGTTTCCTGCGCAAAATGCACAGGTAAATGGTAAGCTGGAGCTGATCAAAGCAGTGAACAAAGATGCAGTACAGCCAATGAAAAGCAGCATTCATCACTGTGAAGGCCAAATGTATGAAAGGAGTGTTGGCGCACAGAGAACAGGATGTACCGAGTTGTTGCATTTTTCAGGATCCCTTGCTCACAGTATCACTTCTGATGTCAGGAAGGAACTGAAAATGTCGGGAGCGTCTTTACCGAAGTCTCTAACAGATTCCTGTCTATATAAAAAGACTGAATTTGATGAACTCACGGGGGATCTCATTAAAACAAGACTTTCTAGGACATTTCTTCCTTTCTCCCCAGATCATAAACTGTATCATAGTACAGGTAGTATAAATGAAAATGGCTACACTGAAGGCGTAATTCAAGCTATAGAACAATATGCTAGAAAAGTAGCAGATGATACTCTAGAAATGAGTTTAGAGTCAGCTATTCTCCGTGTGGCTGAAAACAGAAAAAGTGGCGATAAGCTCTCATATACTGAGAAACTGTCTCCTTTTTCTGGAACTGTCTGTAGATGCTGCAGTATGAAGGAACACCGGTACTGTACAGAAAGTATGTCTCATCATCTACCTGCACAAGAATCCTGCATTCCAGTGAGGCATTTACTTCATTCTGGAGCGGGTGGTGCCTGTCAGAATTCAAGAGTGTTTCAGCTTGATATTCCCAAAATTCACGTTGATGTAGAACAAAGGACAGTGTTTTCTGACAAGGGGGCTTCTGCAGCCGTAGAGAAAGCAGAAAGAGAGCTGAGTTACACAAGTCTGACAGCTGACAGTGGCATTGGACCAGATGGCGTCAGTTTTGCTGAAAGCCTTACTACTGAAATAATGACATCAGCTATGACTAATATTGGTCAGGCAGTTACCATAAGGTAATATTAATTTTTTCTTTTTTGTTACATTTTGTACTAGAAAAAGGATCGTTAATACAAATATGTGCTCAGAAGGAATTTTAATATATATTTTCTTAGAAATGCACACTTTTATGTTCTGAATGTTTTCTTTTTCTTCTTCTTGTGATATTTAAATCAGAACTAGGAAAAAAAAAGCTTTTTTCCACCTGTGTGAGCTTGAAACCAAGGTTTCTATGTATTATATCAACATGGTTATGTTCCAGTAGGTGACCAGTAAGTGGAACTTATTATTTCAACTTGAAAATACTACTTGCAGTAAAGAATACTAACCCTTACAGGTTCTGTTGATCTGTGAGCTGTGACAGAATCCAGGTTTGCTCCCTATTTGTATCTCCTCTTCAGCATCTGGTGCTGGCCTAACAAACCATCGCTTTGTAGTATGAAGGCATAATTTTGTTAATGGCCGTGCTGTGATAGTTTCCTTATTACTGGAGGGGAAAAAAAGGCCCAGCCTGTTACTTTAAGAAAAAAACCAACTTACTAAACCACACTTTATGTTATAGAATAGTAATACAATAAATTAAGGAATTGACTTCGAAATTCTTGTGTGTTTAGCAAAGGATAACATACTGTTTTCCTTTAATAGGCCTATAAATAAGAAATACATACCACAATAAATTTGTGACAAACAACAACCATTTCTTAAAGCAGACTGTGCAGTGATCAAAGTGAAATCTCCTCTTCAGGCCCCAGAGCAATCCTTACCATGTTGTATTTTTAAATTTGAAGTATTTATATTTCTGCTGTGTGTTTTTTTGAGGGCCATCATGATGGACAATAAAATTGATTATTTTGTGTCCAGTGGGTGAAGGCCACAGTGGGACTGAACTAGATTTTTCAAGGTTTGATATGAAACACATACATACTAGCAGCATAAAAGTGCTCATGAGATGTATATTTCAGTCTTTGCACAACGGGGTTGAGTCCTTGCTCAGTGTGTGACAAAAGAGAAAGTAGTCATGTGGTGATGTTTTTCTATACCTACGGTATCAAAGATGACACTTCATTAAAAAATTGTAGTCAGAATATGTCAACAGCAAAATGCAGGATACAAAGAAATGTTGTTTATTAGTAAATTTGTGACAAGGAGGTGATATGAGAGTTTTACTGTGACAAAATTTTTAAATGTTTTTTACGTTGTCATCTAATGTGTGCTAGGTAATTCATATGTTTCTTGATAAGCTGCCTTGTGTGATGTAGAGAACTGCTTCTAGTGCTGGTATAAACTGTAAATAAAAATAGGGAAAAAATGACCTCTGTACTACCCTGCTGGGTTCCAGTTCAAGCTACATTTTTGCTTCGTATGTATGTAGATAATCACAGTTTGCCCATGAAAGTTAGTTCATAACTGCGTGTTCTCATTTTGTAAGTGTTTTTGTGTAAAGAAGTTTGAACTCCTTAAATCAGTTTTTTGAAGTATCTTCTAGAGACTACGTTTTATGGACTATGCTTGATTGATTGTTTTCTGGATAAAAAAATGAAACTAATTTCCTGAGGGAAAAATTCTGTACAAGCCATGCATTGCTACACTTTTCTTGAAGGAAGAAGACAAATCTTTTTCTACAGAAAAATCTTTTTAAAAAATGAAATCCTAACATTTTAAACACCAGCTCATACTTAAACAGTTTGCCTACAATAGCAGACCATTTAGCTGCTTGTACCAAAAGCAGACCAGGGAAAACAGCTAAACTGTCCTATGGTGAATAAGTTCAGAAATGGTAAATCTTCTGCTTGAAAAGTGTACCTTGATACACAGTCTGCAAGGCTATAATACCTTCTGTGCTTTACAGCAATAATCTTCCAAATGAGAGAATTATTTGTGCCGCTCCCTTAGACTCCTAGTGAAAGCATTCCAAATAGCAGTCCCTGACCTAAGCCTGTTGATGTTTCAGATTGATTTGGTTGCTCCATTCTTGCGTTGAGGATAGAGTACAAATTAAGGGATTCCCCTCCTTTTCTTTTTCCTTGGAATTTAATGGCTTTAAAGTGGTGTTAATTTGCATTGAATGAACTAACACAGATCAGCGTGACATGCAGTGATGTTTTTGTCTTAAATTTTTGTTTAGCTCTGTTGGAAGAGAAGGATTTCACTCTGTTGAATCTGTTGTTAGCCATCAGATGAGTCTTAGTATTGGTGATGATAGCACTGGGAGCTGGTCCAATCTAAGTTTTGAAGATGAACATCCTGATGAGAGCAGCAGTTTTCTTCACCTGAGTGACAGGTAACTATAAACATGTTAGTGTAGTTAAACAGTTACCTTGACATCAAATAACTTGTCATCAAGTGGTTTTCTCCTGGAGCTTGGGGGAGAAGAGGTTTTGTCTTCAGCACAAAATGACTTTTTTATTAAAAGTGGCTCTAATATTACGGTTTTGTTTTCTTACGAAATGTTGTTGGCCACGAATGTTCTTATTTTAAAATATGTGGCGTGTGTATTGTCATTGATGTCAGGGAGTCACATCAAGTAAAACTATACATATAAGATTTAAGTATTAGCAAAAGATGGAAGCATTTTAAAAACAGCATTTTTTAAAATTTTTATTTACCCTGTGTAAAATACAACCTGAGAGTACCATTTATAAATTGTGCTCTAAAATATTAAAATGTAATCGTAGAGAATGCATTGTATATAAATTCATTTATTCTTGAAAATAAGTAATACTTGCTTAATTTGCATGAGGAGCTTTTACAGCTGTTTTTGTCTTTTTTGGTACTGGTATTTATAAACTGCTCTAACTGGTATAGGTGGAATATGTCTGTACTGCTAACCATGGGCTTGCAGATGTGTGACACTGGAACTTACCTTTCAGGGTAGTAGCTTCTCACTGCACTTTCCCTGGCTGATTGATAGCTAACAAATATTAAAATAGGAATTCTAAAATCTGCAGTGTCTGCCTGTTGCCAGGGAGAATTGTACTGGGAGTTGTGGCCCTAGCTTCTATGTAAGAAATATATGAGGAATGAGTAAATTTAGTTTTTTATGATTGATATCACACTTATATTGCTGTAGAAAGTCCATCATTTCTGTTGAAGAATAGCGGAAGTGGGGGAGAGGTTTATTCTTTAGTTAGTACTTCCAGCATCTCTGAGGTTAAAGGAAATATGGGAGATGTTCTTCCTTACGTAATACACAAGTAGGTTATTTGGTACCAAAGTGAAACTACTCAGTTAATTATTTTTCTGCAATATTTTTCATGTTTTGCTTAACTAAATAATTTAAGCCAACCACTACTATAATTTATCACTCATAGAACTGAATTATTTTGTAAAAAAATACATTAACTTAGAGTTACTTTAATAAAATATTACCTGTTGAATGAGTGAAAATGAGTTAGACTTACTTGAAGAAATTCACAATATAAGGAATAATATTCAGCATATTGGCAGTTAAAAATAGAGAATAAAATATAGGTTAGTGGATAGCGGGAAAAAAGGTATAAAAAAATTGCTGGACCTGCCATATCTATGTTGTGTATGTTATTTGTTTATCATCCCCAAATTAGATATAAATGAAAAGAAGGTAATTTATATAACTTGGAAGAAAATCTGTGGCTCATTAGAGGAGGAAAGACCTAAATTAGCTCACAGAAGGGGAGGCATAATTAGATAGCGAGGTGTTGGCAGGAGAAACTAACATATGCAAATTGATCAGCTGATTTTACAGAACTGACTGTGGATTGGTAACAGCATGTGTGTTCATTTGTGTTGCTGAGGTTTAGCAGGTGGAAATGACAGGATCTGGGGTTATTACCCTGAGTAAAAAAGATACTGGGGGAGACTTGTAATAAGAAAAGATTCAGAGAAGTAGCCAGCCCGGCTGGCTACTAGTGCCCACACAACCAGTCACTTGCTCCTCCCGGGTGGGATGGGGCAGAGAATTGGAAGAGTAAAAGTGAGAAAACTCATGGGTTGAGACAAAGACGGTTTAATAAGTAAAGCAAAAGCCAAGCACAAAGCAGTATAGGTGATACTGTTATCGACAAACTCTTAAAAAGATATTAGTCTCTTGAAATGTTCCTTTTCACTATTTTGCTGTTTGCCCTGAGTGGTATGAGGGGAAAAGAGCTTCAACAGTCACAGAAAACTTAGGTGAAGAAAGCATCTTCTTGCAGCAGTTGTTCTGTGGAGAGTTACTTCATAAATACTTCTCATACCATCTATAGTAGACAATCTAGCTTTCCCAAATAATGCTGGATATCTGGTAGTCCTGTTCTTGGAAAGCTTCCAGACATGCTCTGTGGGAGGTATGAAGTTGAGGAACAGAGATTTAATCATATGAGTAGCTCAATCTTATACGTAATCACAGGCTTAACAAACTCAGCTATTTATAATGAGTAAAACTAATGAGTGTAATGGCATGGTCCATTTTTTCAGTTCTTTACAACGGGTTGAATGTAGTTGTGGGATAAATGAGTTTTATGAACTGGAAGTGAAGTAATCTTTATAATATTTATATTTATATTTATATTTATTTAGATTTATAACTCCTTGCCCCCATTTTTAAAGGTTCCACTTGCAGAACAATATTCAGAATTGAAAAAAAAATTATTTACTATAGGAATTCCTTCTCATCAGGCTGCTGGATTTTTGGAGTGAGTTGGAAGGATTTTGACTGTGCAGTTGTCTTCACAGTGCATAATTTTATTAAAGCTTAGCTAATCCTTAAGCAAATACTGCAGTCGTAATCCATATTTCTATAAGTAATCATTTTGAAGTTGTTGAGCCTGTGTAAGTGATGAGTAATATGCTTAGACCTGAGGACAGAATTCCTGCTAGCACTGATCTGGAAAATTAATGAGTACAAATTAATACTTTCACCTGTGTGCTGAAACTTACTAGTTCTGCAATATTATGCACATTGCTGCACTGAGTAGCACTGACAGTCAGGTTTGTACTCTGTTCCAGCAAACCTGTTTAGGAAATTTCAGTGCTCTTGCATTAAATGTCTTGACAAAACAGTTGTAAGGAAAATGAAGGTTCTAGTTTGAGCTATTGTTCTTTTCTAGTTCAGCCTTGTTCTCTTCTTCTCCTGGCAGTAATGGTAACAGCAGTAGCTGGAGCAGTCTTGGTTTAGAAGGGGATATGTATGAGGAGAATTTATCCTTTCCAACATCAGACAGGTTGGTTGAGTTGAGAAATATAAACCAGATGGGTTCCTCATAATTAATGCATGAAATAATCATTTTGGAAGATAAAAATACAGTACATTTTTTATGCTGATACATTATTCACACTCTTGTTGCTTAATCACAATATGATTTTTTCATTAATTAATCCATCCTGAATGATTAAATTTTGCTGTGCTAAACTGATGTTCTGCTTGCAAAATGAAAGGTCCCTTTTCTGCATGTTCCTGCCTGCAGTTTTACAAGTCTTTAGATTTAGTTTTCTTTCATGCAAACTAGAGCTTGCTTCTTAGAGGATTTCTTTTTTTTTTTTTCTTTAGCTTGCATAAACTTTCAAAATTGCTTAGTAATTGATTTTAGTAGAACACTTATGACTTACAGCTTTGAGTAACCTATAACTATTCATACCTGTGACATAAGATGGTTCAACTTTTTCACGTAAGAAGCAAAACTATTAAAATCAGGGTTTTCTTCTTATTTTTAAATATCTTCATGTTACAATCCTTTTTAACACCCGTCTCTTGTTTCTCTCTTCTCATTTTCCGAAGTGTGAAGTGGATGATAAACCTTTTTCTGTTGTGGAGTGGTTTGAGAAGCAAAGCTTCTTTTCATGATCATTCCTTAATTCTTTTATGATTTTCCTGTCTTTTAAACTTAATTACAGTTTAGGATTTACTACATTTATTGTGCATGTATTGGATTGTATTCGTATTTTTGTTTGTTTGCTTTCTAAATACAGTGATGGAACAGAAGATAAAGATGAAGATTCCAAGGATGCTGTAGAAGGTAATGTCAGTTCCAGCATATACTACTGTTCTTGTCCTGTGCACTCTACATTAATTATTTTATTATTTGCTTTTGTAATCTGCAAAACAAGGTAACAACATTATTATCCCTATTCATCATAATGGATGTCAGCCAAGTGTCAGAATGTATTGTTAGATTAATACCCTGCGTACAACTCTTAATGCACTGAAATTTACAGCCTTTGGGAAAGGCTAGTTTCTGATGCTCACACAAGCTTAATAAAGGTAGGGAACTCTGATCAGCTTGAAAGCATAAATTCATGTGCACAGAATAACTTCTTTTTAAAATACTTTTTAAAAAAAAGTGTAACTACTTCTTAAAATAAAGGAGACATGGGAATCATCTGCATGGCTCTGTTCGAGATGCTGAAGAAGTTATTCAAACTGGACACATTAACCTTGGGAGAGAGTCATGGGAAACAATGAAAAAAACTTGTATTCGAGGAATATAGCCTTTGCTATATTCCCTTTCTTCTTAGTGAAGTATATATGCATTTTAGTTTAGATATCTTGTAATACTCAGCTATGTTTGCACACAATAAACAGTACTTTGTTATGTGAAAGTACTGTAACACTTCAGACCAGGCATGATTTTTTTTCTTCCATATTATCTGTGTGTACTAATTTGAGGTTTTTAAGCTAGTAGAGTCTGTAAACAGTGAACTACAGAGACTTTTTTGAAACAGAGATACAGATTTGATGATTTTTATTTTTAATGTTAGGTTTGGAGCAAATCCAAAAGACTTTATCAATAGCGAATATTGATCTGGAACGAAATCTAGTGGACCCCCAGCTCAGAGCAGCGCTCCAGTGGCTGGCAGCTTCTGAAACAGAGGTGTCTGATCTTCACTTCCGTGACACTGCCTCAAGGGAGTTTGTCTTTGTAAGTACTCGGGTTTGATGGGTGGTGGGAAAGGGAAAGGATTATCTGAACTTCCACTGACCAATACACCAGCTGCTACTACTTCATTTCCTATTCACTGTTGAGGAAAATGGTTATTTAAATCCTGAGAGGTCAAAATGGAACAGCCTGGTTATAGAGCCTGGTATATACAGGCTGTGTATATACCGTACATTAACCAGTATTGTCAAAGCTGAGTTAGCTTGTTTCACCAGTGGTTTACTGCAAAAAGGATACAATTAGAGCATTTTTGTTTGAAAAAACAAACCTTGTTGAATATTGTATTTTTTCAAGCATTTTTTAACTTAATGTTTAATTGTGTATAAATTGAATCTTTCTGAGAACTTGGTCATGCAGATTAATTTCTAACTTAATATATTCTGCCTAAGGGGTTTTCTGCTAGCAAAGACACATTTTCTTGTTAGAAAAAGGTTTAGTTTCTGAGTTAATATTAAGTATGTCTTTATTCTAAAACCAAACTTTATAACTGAAACCAAAGCTATTAAGGAAGAAGGCTCAGTAAGATTGCTTTATTCTTAGATGCCTTTATTTTGGGTTTATAGATTGAATTTATTGTGACCCAAGAGAAAAAACGTAACTTTAAAGAATTAGGCTTTAGCAATTTGTGTCTCATTGGGAAGGCTCAATATTTTGGTATGCATATTGTCCTGAGTATTTCCATCACAAACATATAAGAGGAACTTATTCCTGTAAAAATCATAAAAATTACTCTTTTGTGTCTGCACACCAAACTGCACGTGATAATCTGGAATTTATTACAGTCAACATATATTTTTTATATTCTACCAAGGAATTACTTTAACATTAACAGGCTATTGAAAGGCTAACTTAATATATATATATAAGCATTGTCTCTAATGATGAGGTTCACAGGAACAACAAATTATCAAAGAGTTATGTTTTGTGGTCTGCTGATATGAAAAAGCATTAATGTGATACCATTAGTATGGTTTCAATAATTAAAATCTTGGTGAAACCGACTTAACGTGCATATCAGTATATTAAGGGAGGAAAAGCTTGCTCTCAGTTCTGAAATTTAGTTTTGAGTCTTCAGCTTGGTGCTTTTCAAAGCTCACATCGTTTCAGGAGAAAAGGGGAGTGACTGGGAAGTAGAGTTCAGTATGACAAAACAGAGTCCCAAATTTAGATGGATGTGTGCACCTATGGTGCTTAGTTACTGTAGACTTAAAAATGTGAAAGGTGGCCAGTCCAGATTGTACCTGGTCTGAAATGTCCTGAGACTGGCTTCTCCTTTCTAGCCCACAGAGACAGTGACAATTTGGGGTGTTTTTTTGCCTGTGTAATTGTGTGGTATGTGTGTTTGATTTTGAGATTAGGAAGTTTTTATTAGAAATAGCCCAGAAAATTAGGAAATGTTTTTTGGGCATGTAGAAATATATCCCCTGTGCTCCTTTCTCTGGAGGTTGGTATGTTTGATTTAGAACTATTTCTGGAATATGCTTTGTTGTATGCTAGTTCTGACACTTAGAGTGAACTTTATGATTTCATAAACTAGAAGGCAGTTTGAGAATACTATTCTCCATGTTTGTGTTATTTGAAATTGTTTGTTTTAATCCTTACCTTTGTAAGTTCTTCTTCTGTTACGGTTTATAAGTACCTCAACGCAAAGAAGAAAATTCTTTACTTTTTCTGTTCTCACATGCCTGGCCCAGCATTCCCTGAAGTTTTTTTGATGGGAACGCGTTGGGATTACAGTGTTTCTTACCTTGTGAGTTTTTTTTGCCATCTTTTGAAGATTTGTTCATCTGTTTCATGCTTGTTTTATGCAGTGTTGCAAATACTCAGGTAGGATAGTGGTAGGACCCACAAGTGTTAATTTTATTTTGTGTGTGTGAGAGAGACCTGTATCTTACACTGCAACATAATCCATAAGCCAAAAAGTAGAGGGTAGGTGCCACTTTTTTCAATTTTTCCTCAAGTGTCTCATTCTTCTGCCAGCTCTGAGTTAACAGATTGCAAAGCTGTGATGACACGACTTGAGCCAATGCTGAAAGACATACAGGAAATATATTATTAGCTGGCTGTGTATCTCAGCATCACTCCAGCTGCCTTAATAAAAGAATTTACTGAGAAGAGCATATCCTGTTTTCCTCCCCGGGGACAGGGAAGGATTACCTGTGTATAATTCCATCCCATTTCCCAATTGGAACTCTCTCTGACCCAGACTTAAAACCCAGGGTTTTAAGTTAAAGTCATTCCGAGTTCTGTCACTTGTAAAGCTGAGCAAGCACCTCCAGAGGGCGCTGCAGCCCAGCGGGAAGCGAACCCAACCCCGCTGTGCTGGTCCCTGGCCAGCTGTGGGCTTTGGGGCAGCTCATGGGTACCTTGGGAAGTTACCTCAGTTATGTGGGGAATGAACCCGGGCTTTAGATTACACTGAAAGCAGTAATTTTCAGTATAAGCAGTTTGGTGAGTTCTGGAAGGGAGGAAAGGCTTGTGTTAGCTGGTCACGGCAGGGTAACGAGCCACTGGTGTGATGTGGCTGTTTAAAAGGCAAAAATACTTCTGGCACATAACAGGCAAGGTATTACTTGCTGCAGCTTGATATGAACTCTTACTTAAGGGTACATGTTATGCTCAACAAAGCAGAAAAAAGTTAAATACGTTTGTTATGAGCCATAACAAGAAACCAGTAAATTAGAGTAGATAGTTCTTGACTTCTTTGAGAAGCCTGGCAATGTGGATATGCAAGTGCCTGGATTGAAAAAATCTCATATATTCAGTTTTTAACCAGACTTTACCTAGCTGTTGTAAGATTCCTGTTTTGACTAAACTCTAATATTTCACTTGTCTGACAGTAAGAAATAGATTATTAATCTGAAGAAATAGTGGGATTAAATTCTGAACTCTAAATTAAAATTTAGGTGCCCCCACTGTAGTTTTACCATGGTGGAATCTTCTTTGGACAAAAGTTTTATACTGTATTTGCTGAGGTAGATATTTGGACATTAGCCAAATTTTCCTCTGGCAGAGGAAAGAGAAACGACCATTCTTTTATAAACCAACAAACATCATTTATAAAATTGCATGTTTTAGGCTATAAAACTCTTATTTCCTGTACTCTCCTTTAAAATTCACAGAAATAGCTACAGATTTCAGTCTCTTTCTTTGTAGAAAAGGTGTCTTTTTTTTTTTTTTCCACTGAGAAAAGTCTAAAGGTTTCAGAATAAATTGCGCTCAGGATTAGACAGGATCTTTTTTTGCTTTTTCAAATTCATTGTTTGCTCAAGAAGTTAATTGTTTTATACATGTTTTTATGTCTACATTCTTTCCACCAGTTCCATCACCTGCCTTCTTGCAGTTGGAACATCATCTAGGTGAAGAAGCAAGGAAAGATTGTCTTCCTTTTAATTTTCAATAGAATTTTATATTGCACTCTGACAGATCTCACAGTAGAAACTTTATGATTTTTTAAATTTGTAGCTGTGAAAGATAATTCTCTAAACACTGTTTATAATTTTTTTAAAACTTAATATATAGAATGTCGTGGTAGGGGCTATAAAAGGCCGTAAAAATCTACAGTTCCAAAGAGTAAGTAGAGCATTTAAACTGTGTTTACTAAATGCAGCATTGACAGGTGTCCAGAAAATTACAGAGAATAAAGTTTGTTTGTGTGGGTGTTATGTTTTTTCATTTGTTTTGTTTTGGTTTTTGTTTTAACTAGAAGTTGTTTGGTTTTTTTACTCCTGAGCAAACTGGCAAATTCATTCTTTCCTTAGGGTAGGATTTCATACATATATAGCTGAGCTTGACACATAAGAAGTGGAAGATTTTTTTGCTTGGACCCTGGGCAAAAAAAAATGTTTTCAGTTACACTGATCTGTGCTCCTGAGTGGTAGTTTAAGTTAATTGACACCTTTCCTCTTCCCCAAGATGTTATAATTTCCCAACTCTGAAGACACTGTTTTCATTGAGGGTAGCGTCTCTGCCACCCAAACCACACTATATGTTGTGAAAGGAAAATCCACATCCTTTTATTAAGACTGAGTTTTGTCTTTTTATACATGCGTTATTGGCATGGGAGGGGTGGCAGTGTCTTAATCTTGTGTTCAGAATTTCCTGTTTTCTACAGTCCTGATGAACCACAGCCCTCATACCTGTGGCACCACATAATTTGAAAATGTTGCTCCCTCCAGGAGAAAGTTTTGTGAAAACTGCCCTAACGAAAAGTGCCTGGTTCTTGTGGAAGTTTTTGTTTTTATAGGTGTGGGGATAACGATTAACTCATTACAACTGATCTCTTATGACCTAATGTTTCAAGAATAACTTCTGTAACTGTTCATCAGGATGTCCCAGTCAAAATATTTTGTTTTGTGTTGATCTGTCTCCCCTTCAGCTTTCCAGAAGACTGCAAGAAAGAGACTGGAAAGTTGGAGATCTCTTGCAAGCAGTGCTGAAATATTGTGAAATGATAGAGAAGGCATCTGATGGAGAACAAGCTCCAAATAAGTCTTTTGTCGGTTGGCTTCTGGAAAATGTCTGAAAGGTCCAAAGATGCAACATTCTTCACTTCATTCCTCGTTTGAAAGGAGATAGAAAGAACACAGATGTGTAATTAAAATTCAACTAGTGAATGTTTAAGTAATAGTCAGCAATTAAAAGACTTGGAGGTGAAAGTCAAAATAGCTGTGCTGTGCTTTGTGATACCGTGCACATGGTATGTTTATTCAGTCCGTAATCGGTATTGTCCACTCACGCATAACTTGTATTTACTGCTGTGTTCAGACCATTGAAATATTTATGAAAACATCCCTTGTCTATGATAGTAGTTCAGAGGAGGCAGTCTCAGGCATGATGTTTAGGATTCCCACTGTGCCAGGATAGCTCTTTTTTCCACTCCTGTGTGTGCTATATTCACAGCGTGACTGAGAGCACTGATTTCTGCAAGGATCTGTTCTGCAAGGAATACTGTGCTGTAGACAATGGAAAAAATTACCAATCTTGGCCAGACCTTAAGTGCCCAAGAGCACCATTGCCAGGAAGAAAATTGTGACCTGCCCAAGGAGCCCCTAAATAGCCACCTTTATCAGTTTTAAGTTTATGCGAAGGTGGGAGAGTCTGCTCTGAATTGCTGAGGTACAAATACATATTCCCTTTTGTTGACTACTATAGAGCTGATAACTTCTGGTAGAAGGGCAGAGTGAGTAGTTGAACATAATTTTCATGCATAATTCTTCAGCAAGGTTTCCTGCAGCTTTCCAATAAAATTAAAATGCTAAATTTTTTACTGAAGCTTTTGTATGCAGATATTTCTATGACACTGATTCTGTGTCAAAGAATTTATACATTAGTCTCTCACACAGATGTGTTAAAAGTAGCAGATAGAAATTTATGAGGATTTTGGCTGTCTTTTTGACTAGTTTTAATTCTTTATTTCTTAGCAGTCACATATGAATTTTCTTTTCAGTAATAAAGATAATTTTGTTACTCAGTAAACATGTAAGCATTTAGCAAAGAAAGCTAATTAAAACATAAAGGGGAAATTTCTTGCAAATTGAGTTTTCATTTTAGTTAACTACCTTCACTGAATTTTTTTTAAAGGGACTTTTAATCGAATATTTTTAGCAGCCTCATCAGGTTTCTCACCAGTGCTGCTGACTTGCCTTTCTGTCTGAGGGGAAATCTGGACCTTTACATACCCTGTGGTTTGAAAATGTTTTTTTGGGTTTTGTTTTTTTTATATAGCCTTTGAGAGAAAAAGGCACGTGCTGGTAATTACAAAGTTGCCACCTCAAACTTACAAAAGAATCACAGAGCCTTACGTATTTTGGATGAACAAAAAAAAAAATCTTTAAGGCTTTTTCACAGAAAAACAGGCTGTTGATATGGTGTACAAGATTGTTATCCCAAACAAGGAGGGAGGGAGAGAGATGGTCTCTAAATCTATTCCTGAATTTGAATGGTGTATGTACAATTCTGATTTCTCCTACCCCATGAATTACTATGAGGTGTCACACTGGTAAAGTCAAGACTACTCTCCTTGGAATGTTTTCATGTTTCAGGAGGGCATTCCGCTGGCCTTTTTGTAGAGATCTGGTTTGTTTTTGTCTTCATTTGTCATCTGGATTTCTGCCTTGGATCTCACAAGGTTCTCCTTTCTCACAGAGCTAAAGATGTTTAATGTTTTTCTATGTGCACATGCATGTATACACACGTGCATACACAGATATGTCTGTATATCTGTTTGTGTATGAGATCTCACCAACGTGAACTTTAAATGCGAACTTTTGCCACTAAATTAAAATTCTGTTACACTCATAGTTTTATTACCTCACTTTGTGTATCATTTCACTGATGGAAAAATCTATGTATGCCATGTGACAAAAAGACCAAAAACTACTTCAAGGTCTTTTGTTGCAGGTAATAATGCCAGGTGTCAGGAATGATTTTTCTCTAGAGCCCAAAGCAGGGCAGGTGAAGTTATCTTAATTCCTGTGTTTGGAAGATGGGCCTAGTAGCAAATATTTTTTAAGAATTGTACAAAAGTTATCTGGATTTTTTTTTTCCTCCTCCATCCCATACTCCTTTCTTTTTTTTAAGGTTGACTTTCAGTGTTGTTTTAGACAAAAATTTGAAACAATTCTCTGGCTGTAACATCTTCCCTAGTACAAATTTACTTTTAAAATTGAAATGCCAAGAAAATAAAATACTATAAGCAGTGCCTCGAGAGTAAGTTTTGCTCACCAAGTGGAATTTCAAGATAAGAGGATACAGTAGTAATAATAAAGTGTTTCTGCACATGTCCAAATTTAGAAAGGTATTGAAGGTATTGTGAATGCACAGAGCTGTATATTTAAATAAAAACCACACAACAAAACACAACCAACAAAACAACACCACAGGAACAGCCGTTTTTTAACTCATTTATTCAGTATGTTGGAATTTATAAAGTTGGTGAAGTGTTTATTCTTTCTAATTACTTCTGTGGAGAAGGGCAGAAAATTGTGAGATTCCCAAAGCTTACAACTGTCGAGAAAGTTAAATAGACAATAGTTGCACTAAAATTATTTTTATAAATGGAGTTTTGTTTTCAGACTGGATCAAATATTTATGTAACTATTAATTGGTGTTATATTAAGGAAGAACTTGTTTTATTAGCCTAGTTTCCAAATTTACATGAGAAAAATGTTGTAAAATACTTCATTTTTACTGAAAACAAGCAAAGAAGCCAAACCAGTTTTCTATACAAATTGTTTTAAATTCGTTCTGGGTGACTTGACTTTTCTCCTTGAGTATGAAATTAGGAAAACATTAAACTAGCCTGGCAAAATTATTATAATTTAATACTTTTAATAATCTTTGGAAAATCTTATTCTGACTATATCTAACTGGTGCTGTCTGCCATATTAGTGAGAAAGCTATTCTTTGCTAATGAGTCTTAAATTATGCTATTACTGAGTTTGTTTAAAACTCCCGACCACAGATACAGAAGTGTAAGTGAAAACATGTAAAAACATGAAAGGCCACATTCTGGTCCATTTAAAGAAGACAACTCTGGTTTATAAACAAACATAGAAAGGTAGAGTTTATTTCATCTTGCATTTTTCCTGTATGGGAAACCCTAGTAATTTAAATTTTAAGTTGAGGAAAGTATATCCAATGATGTTATTGTTTCAGAAGTCACCCAAACACTTCATAAATATATTTGGTGTTCTGAGAAATGGAAGTGTTGGGATGCTTTGTAAGATTCTGTGGAAAAAAGCACTTTGAAAATAGTCCCTCTATAAATTAACAATTAAAAGTTGGCCATATTTAAAACAAGTTTAAGCATTCAAAATGGGGTGCATAAATAATACAGATGTATGCATAAAGCCTTAAAATCAAACAAAACTCAAACCCATATGCTAAAATTAAAGAGGATTTGTTGTCTCAAAATAAGGATGTGAAAATATAGCTAAGATGCGTATTTGAATGCAATTTCTGTAGTATCTTTGTTCTTGAGTTTTAAAAGGTTGTGTGAGCTTCTTAGAAAAAACCCAGTCAAAACTCAAAACCCCAGCAATCCACATTCCGAGACTAATTAGGTCTCTAAAAAATGTTATCAGGTTTTAAATGTTACGTTTTCCAACATACCTTTGGGACCTTTTCTAAGAACAACCACATATTACTGGAGATGGGAACACAGTAAATAATAAACCTGGTCACCAGCGTAAACCCCTGTAGTTTTAGACAGTTGATTAGCAGTTTAAAGTATGAGATTTCAGGAATGATTTTTGGTGTAAGAATTTTGGCTTTTCAGCAAGAGCCTCTGCTGTCAAGCATTTACTGTACTTGAGCTCTGAAGGGGCAAGTACAGAGCCCAGCCACTGTAGTCACTTTATTTTGCACCATCTTTGTACATTCCTGTTGTATAGCTGGAGTTGTAGTTTTAGAGGGCCTTTGTTCTGTTTTAATGTCTGAATAGTATTTAATACTAAATTTTATTATAATTTGCTGGAACTGCTGCTTATTTGTGCAGTGTTACAGTAATTCACAGCCCAGTTAGTGATGCAATTGTATACCAAAAGCAGTTTGAGTAACTATAAATGTTTATGTAACTGTACTCAATGAATATGAAGGTCTTGTACTGTATAATGCTGACAAGTTTTGCCATTTTAGTAATTTAACTATATTCAGTTTTCAGATTATGAACTCCAGGTTGCACTAAATTTGTCCTTGTTTTAGCAGTGGCTTAAAATAAAACACATTTCACTGGCTTGGAGAGTGCTGTCGTTTCTTGTAAATTCATGGAATATTATTTTTCTTTTCAAATGACACAGCTAAGACTAGTCTTGATCAGTGGTTGTGTGAAGGCACTTGAAGAATGGTATAATAAATAATGTATCAGTAGATGGCATACTTCTTACAGAATTAAATTGGTGTCCAGCAGGAAGCGAGAATGCCGTTCTCCTGTCTTTGATTTGGAAGGTAAACCCATTGTTCCACTTACATGCAGTAAAGTGTCACATGGACTCTAATGTCAACACAAGTAGGATATAATAACCAGTCTAGCTCAGCCTCATCTTGCCTGGAAGCTAGGTTAGGAAGGTTGCCTTGATATTTCTGTGTGGACTGAGGTTGGACTTTGGCACCTTGTACAGCATTTGGAGAATTGGTTTAGAACCCAGCTTGAGAGTCTTCTGGACAAATGAAAGAATACACTGCTAATGAAAATGTATGAAACATGACGTTACATAGGCTTCTTCAAAATCCTCAAGTGTTTGGCCGTGTGTTGAAATGTACCAAACAGCATATTGTCAAGCACCCCAAAATAGTAATGCTGAGCAGACATGATGTGCCCAGGTACCAGTTCTAAGATTTAAAAGTACTGCCATTGCAAATAGCTGTCGTAATGCCCTTTGATGTATAAGTTGTGAATCTACTAATCTCAGCTGGGCTTCATTTCAAGAACTAGGAAATTTTCGCTGAAGTTATTTTAAAAATAGTAAGCATGAGCAACTGTCCCTGATTAATTTTGCAGTGCTTGTTTAAAGGAGGTTTCTATAGTATATGGAGACGACTTTCAAAAGGAGCATTCTTTTGTGTCATTACTGTGTCTGGTCCAAAGATTTTTTTGTTTGGGTAATGCCTCATGGTCAGTCACATAGAAATTATATGTTAATTGAAGCAAGTAAATAATTATTCTTATTTTTTTGCACTGCCAAAAAAAGACAAGTAGCAAGTTTGGGAACAAAGAAAATAAAGATTTTTGTAAAGGGAAAGAAGAGGATATTCATGTGGAAGATAAATCTGAGCTTTTTCCTTCCTGCCTGGACTTTATTTTTCTTTCATTCAGCAGTCTGGTTCTGGCTGGCTTTATTCAACCACAGAACAGTATCCGTGCACTTTGTTTAACCTTGGTGTATTAAATTGAGAGTTAAGTCTCCAGCTAGTCCGTAGTCTTCGCCCAACATGTGTTGCTACTCCATCTCCTGCTGCTATTGCTCGGACCTTCCTCTTGCTCCCCAGCTTGAGCTTCTGGTGTGACTGAATTCCATGCTGGCTACTGCTCTGAGCCTCTGATTGGAAGGTGGCTATGGAAAGTGAGTCATGCCAAGGCTGAAGAAATGTACCCAGAGCATTGACCTTACTGGTTATGGAGCACCATATGAATCAAATGCTGTCTGTTTCCCCTGCTGTTAAGACAAACCACGAAGCATGTGACTGCTTGAGGCAAGGGAACTAACAGTGATGAACATAAGACCATGTCTGTGGTCAAGGTACTGGATATCTAGTCCGTGACTGCACAACACCTTTCCACAGAAATTGCAAAGACTGGAATTAGGGCCTTTATGTAGTCAAAACATACAGTCTGCATTGCCTTTATCCCTCCAAAAGTTGCTGCTGCTTTTAGGACTGAGGGAGCTTTCTGTACACTTATTTGAGTTTGTTTGTTTTTAACTAAGAATGGGCAAAAGGAAAGACTTGTACAACCCATTTGACTTGGTTTCTTGAAAATGCAGTGCTTCAACCAGGAATAATAGGAATATTGAGGAAAGAAAGGGTGTAGTAGTGTGATACTTTTTTGTGCCTTCTGCCCTGTAGTCCACTTATTACCAGTGTCCTATTTTGTACAGCCTCCATCTCATTTAACTTCTGAGTTTCTTCCTACACTTTCCTTGTGGCTATTGCTTGTTTCTAATTTTTTTCTGACCCTCGTCCAATCTTGCATTACAGCTATCGTCTTTGGCTTCTTTTTTGACCCTACACTGGTGTCCTGATGTGACTTCTGGCCTTTTCATTCTTGGCGGGTGGAAGTGGTTAAAAACCAGCAAGGGGAGTCTTCCTAGCTGTGAGGGTATGGAATAAGGCTTGCCTACCAGAAATCATCAAGCAGTGAAGAAGAGCTAAGCTTGCTTTTGGCTGAGTTCTGTACTCCTGTAGGAAAGTAATCTGTGGTTGCTTTGGTTTGGAACCCAACTTATTTCTTGCAAAACCCTTGGATTTTATGCTGATCTGAAAGTAACTTTTAAGCTGATACTGAAATACAATGTAACTCCAACATACTACGTAATGGGTGCAGATGTGTGTGCAGTGTGCTGTGTAACAGCAGCTTCTGGGCACAGGGCACAGCTCAGTCCTTTTGAAAGCTGGCAATACTCAGCTGTCCTGTTGAACTCATTACAGTATGTTGTGCACTATGTATCAGAGAAGAGTTCACAGCTAAATCCACTGGATTTAAAAAGCACTGGGCCTAGGAGAGCATCCAAGTTAACTGTTACAGGACTTTGAGATGCTTAGCTAATATGTCTGTGCTAACAGATCATACACGTTATTCATTCTTTTAGCTAAGGAGGTTCAGAACTTGTCTTGTGTCCTAATTTACTGCTGTAAACCATGATATGAAGATTATAGCCTAATAAGTCAGAGTCATCACAGGGTTAAGCCTGAGACATCCTGACAATCGTAGTACATGCTGGCATCTTCAACAAAACCTCTTTTCCTGTGACTACCTGAGAAAATAAAGAGGTGAGTGTTGGAAATTCCCCAAGGAGTCTGGAGGGCCCTGATCAGTATGATTAAAGTGCTTCTGAGAGGCTCCTGAAGACACAGTTTCAGAGAATTTGGTAATTTTTGTTTAAAATTATTTTGTGAGGTTTTTTTTCTCCTTATGCAAGTGTTGGAATGCCACTGCTTACGGTGTACACACAGCTTGTAGCAGCATGTTTAAAATCTTACTTTATTTTTCTCCATGTGTTAGCTAGCCACAACTGTTAAGAGAAAATTTAAGTATATAAAAAAGTCAACCTTGCTGAAGTCATCCAAATTACACTGGATGAGTGATTTAGATTAATTAGGGAAATAACCATTAATCTGAATACATGGCAGCAATGGGAGGGTTGGTTGTTTCCATCATTCATTTTTAATTCTCTTTCCTAAAATGTGAACCTTTTTTTAATAACTAGACTAAAAGTGCAGTAAAGCTAAAGCTCGTGTAATTGTATCTCATTAACAAGGAGAAAAAGAAAGAGAATGAACTGTGATCATAACACAGTCTTGATTCTGGCAGCTTACTTAATTTGAACAGAAATTAATTTCCTACCAATTGTCTTCTGTTTGCAAGTCCAATGTTCAAACACAGTCATGTCCTAAATTCAGTATCTGTTTTTTAAATTTGGAGTTTCTACAGTCTTGGAATGTTGAGAAGAGTAAAGGTTGCAAAGCTTTTCTTTCTTTTTAATTGTAGTGTCCTTACTGGGTGGGACTTTTTAACTAGTCCACCCTCTCATCCTAGTAACTTTCAGCAAGGGTTGTGGATTGCACTGACCTCACACGGTATCCTCAGCACCTATTCCCCAGAATTCCTGCATTTTGCTTTCCTGACTTGGCTTTGATACCACTCTCTGTTCCTAAAAGGTCTCCCAGTCTCAGGTCCTATGCTCCAGACCCTTCACTGACCCTGAAGAAGGTTTGATATCATCAAAAAAGGTGAAATCTCTTAGAAAGAGTCAGTCTGGGTAGGAGTGGGCAAACAGCCAGCCCTCTGCTGCTCAGCCTCTTCCTTTCCATTGAAATGTGTACAGTGAACTGCCACTGAACAAGACTTAGTTGTATGGCTGATAAAAATCAGCCTAACAGATTGTGTCAGAGGAGAGATAATATACATGAGACTTGAAGGGCTTTATTTTCAGTTTGCCTGTGAACCTGGTTTTGATACCTACCTCTGCTGAAGCCTTACTTCACCTGAGGGAAGACCTGTGCTCTTCAATCACTCTTGTATGTCCCCCTCTGTAAAGTGGAACAAGGCTCCTGGGCTCTTCTGAAGAGTTTGGAACATTAACAAAGAGGAATGCTTCCTGTAGTTGCCAGATCCCACAATAGTTAGCATTTTTCTTGCTCTCCCAAATAAATCAAACAAATATTTTACAATTTCAGATACTTTCCTTTAATAAGGCTCAAAAATTTGTGAGCCTTTTCAGGCAACTCCAGAAATCACTCAAAGACTGTCCCACACTGGTTGGTGTGAAGGTAGAAAAGCCTTCACAATTTGGAAGTTAATCACATTGTAAGTTCAGCTCTGGTGCCTCCAAAATAAGAACGATGTGGACCTGCTGGAGCAGGTGCAGAGGAGGCCACAAAGATGATCAGAAGGCTAGAGCACCTCTCCTATAAAGACAAGCTGAGAGTGCTGGTGCTGTTCAACCTGGAAAAGAGAAGGCTTCAGGGAGACCTTACAGCAACCTCACAGTACCTAAAGGGAGCTACAAGAGTGCTGGGAGTGGCACTTTTTAGCAGGGCATGTAGCGATATAACAGGGAGGAATGGCTTTAAACTGAAAGAGGAGAGATTTAGATCAGATATTCAGAAGAAATTCTTTACTGTGAGGGTGCTGAGGCACTTGAACAGGTTGCCCAGAGAATTTGTGATTGCCCCATCCCTGAAATTGTCCAAGGCCGGATTGGACAGGGCCCTGAGCGACCTGGTCTAGTGGAAGGTGTCCCTACCTATGGCAGGGGGCTTGGAACTAGATGATCTTTAAGGCCCCTTCCAACCCAAACCATCCTATCTTTCCAAGTACTTAACTGTTCTGGAAACCTTTCAGTGGGGAGTCATAAGGATGAAATGTCTCTCTTCCTGTTGTAGATGATGACTCACCTTCAAAGCAGGAGCAAACCCATGGCTACATGGCCAGAAAGTCTAGGAGTCAGATAACACTAGAAATGCAAGGATCTGAAGGTCCATATAATATTGTTCCTCATTGTATTGTTTTCCCAAG